GAAATGAAAGCTGCTCCCTAAGGACGAGGAAAATAAATAAAATATTATTATTATACCGACTACAAATAAAATTGGGAACAGAGCAAGCAACAATGATGGGGTTTCGAGGGTAATGAGGTTTGTGTTTATTTTAATTAACTGCACCGAGTAGCCTTTTTAATTTCGCTCGTCAAATCTGCAGAGCTGATGGGTTGACCCTGATGCTCGCGAGCGGGACGCGGCGCTTCGCAGGTCAACGGCCGCGGCCGACAAATGACCTCAGTCAGCTGGTAACTACTGTTGGTCGACATGACAACAAGCATCAATCACGGCTTGCACCTGCAAGCCTCATACTGGATCCTATTCTTTATGTCTGAAAAGGCAACTTAATCCCCAACGGGAATTACAACGAGATATATGAGGACTCCTCCACGCTTACTTCACCCAGCTCAAAGGCTCGGTGAAATCAATAGGGTGCCCATTCAACACCACACAGTCCATTTTCCTGCACCCTAACCCGACATGCATTTCGAAGACCTCGGTCACCAGAATGCGTGCCGAGAGTGCGGGTGTGGTCATCATCCGTTAGGACTGTCGACGCACACGCCAGAGCGATCATGCGTGCACCTTTTTTTTTATACGCAGGCAAAAAATACTATTTACAGACGACGGCGCCTTTAAGAGGCTCACCGCCGAACGGACCTCACACCTGGCTCCCGCAAGCCTTACGAGCCCCAGCAGTGGCTGCCCACTGAGGACCCCGTAACCCTTACGGGCGTTTTACGGCATAATATCCGCTAAAAAACCCGGCGAACACCCTCTAAGCTGCTTAGCGCGAAGCCGCGGGATCCCCGTTTAGAGATTCTTCCGCGTCTCCGCACCTAGCAGCCTACCGGCCTTGCCGGGGCTCCGATCATGCGTGCACCTGGAAATTTCGCCTCATATGATAGTGCTGAATTATCAGCATCCATATGATTATTTGATTGACACTTGATCGATTCTTAATCTCATCCAATCATAGGAAAGAGAAACAGATTACTCGTAAACGATAAAGCATTTGTATAGGTAACTATACGTTATTGATGGTTGATAGGTGAACGAACCCTTGCACCGACTATTATTAATGGGCGGGTGGTCGACGGGTCAAAGTACTTACCTGATTGCGAAACACGCGGGTGAGTTAATGATCTACAACTTTTTGGTACAGGTACGATCAGAATACATGGAATAGGGGAAGACTGCTCCACGTATTAGAGGCGAGCATGAAGGATTTTCAACTTCAGTACCTTATACATAAGGTAACTCAACTGGGTCGTGTTCGCGTGTGAAGCTAATATATTGCGAGTCACGCTCAAAGGTCGAAAAATCGACTTGATATGAAATATGCCAGAGTAATGTGAAGGGCACGGGCTTAGTACGCAATTTGGGGGAAGTATATTTGCTACCATACAAGCTAGCTCCGAATCGACAACTACATCGGAATAAATATGTAGGTCATAGGTATCTGGCTAAAATTTTCAGCAGAGTCAATATATTACGCCAAAACCATACGGTACGATAATAAATAAATAAATATTTTCAACACTCCTACCAATTAGCCTAGCCCTAAAGTAAGCACTGTAAGGTTTGTGTTATGGGATACTAGGATAAGTATCTTTATATATATAATTCTTCTGTGAGTGTGTATGTCACTAAAGTTCTCTTAAACGACTGGACCGATTTTGATGAAATTTTTTGTGTGTGTTCAAGGGGATCTGAGAATGGTTTAGATTCACAATTTTGTCCGCTGGACAATGTTTTTTTAATTAATTTTTTTTATGGCGGTACGAAGTTCGCTGGGTCAGCTAGTATTTATATATAATACATATTTAACATCCATGACTGGAGTACAAATGCTCGTATTCATCACACAAACATCTGCCCCCACCGGGATTCGAACCCGGGACCTCTCGAGTCGGCGACACCGAGAAACCCGGCGTACAAACCACTCGGCCTAGGAGGTCGTCAAATGACTCTTACTTAAGTAAAAAACGTTCATCATCATCGTTAGCCTATGAATGTCGCCACTTACGAAGAAAAGGCTTTCCCTCTATGGACGAAAATAGCGAGAACGGGCGATGGCCCATAACGGCCACAACGCGGGCCCAGTGCGGATTAGTGGTTGCTATGCTAACGACTACGGAGCTCTGGACTAAATTGGCTATTGTGAAACTTTATTTCTACAATAGCCCGTAATTTTATTTTCACCAAATTATTTTACTCAATTTCTGCATTGGCACCAGTATTGCAAAAATATGAGCATAGAAAGTGATAGCCAGTTAGTTTAATTGGCAGTTTGCGAGCGAAACTAGACGCAAGCACTGACCACAACATTTGCACACTCATCGACCATAAAACCAGTTTTCCACTGTGGGAAAACGCCACCAATTTCGTAAAATACAATTCTTTCGCTTAGGAACTTTATTGCAAAGGCGTTAAGATTTCTTATGTGTCAGCTGCGCCCGCAGTGGCATCCGATCTTAAGCCGTGGTTAACTAGCAGCATTACCAGCAGTTTGTATAACGAACGAAAACGAGCGCATTTTTTATCATAATTACCGAGTAGTTACATAATTAAAGTAGCCCTTGAATCGGACACCCGGAAGATATTCGGGTGTTTCTTAACAAATGTCAGATTTAATGTGCACTGAAGTAAAAACAGCAATTTGTCATTGTCAAGTAAACAATCAAGCATAAAGCCTTGATATAGGCACCTGAAACTTACAAACAATTCGTGTGTTGTAGTAAATTCTACAAAATCATTGTTCAAAGTGCGAAATGGCGGAGCTAGAAACCTCTCGGGTATTTCGTAAGAAACTTGTTGCAACCGCAGCAACATAGGAAAGGTTTTGTTTCTCGTAAATGTCGAAACAAAAGCGACGGGAACATGTCGATTCAATGCAGTATACCTAATAATAGCGTATAAAGAATAGGCTTGTTGAAAATATATCGATGTATCGATATATCGATATTTTTTGTTCGATATATCGATATTTTTTGCCGATTTATTTTGATTCGATATATCGATACAAAATAACCAATATCGAAATTCGTATGAAAAACGATATATTTTTTATTATTAGCGGCATATCACGATCTAACTAAATTCGTCTCTGGAAAAATCGTAACTGGATCTCAGATTAATGATATTCAACATATCTATGATCTGTGCTGTATTTAGTATGGTCTATGTCATCATTCGAAAATAGGGTCTATTTTTAGGGAGATAATTTTCGTTCCATTATCATTCCGCGTGTCATATTTCGTGAGCTACTGTACGATATTTTTGGGAAAATTGGTCCGATATATCGATATATCGATGTTTTTTTCGCGATATATCGAAGCAGACATTGATATTTTTTAAAAGATCGATGTATCGATATTTTTCTCAACTTTCGACATCCCTAATAAAGAAAAGCACAACACGCGCGCCGCGAGCGTGACACGCGACACAATGGAGCGTGAAACAAGGGGTAACCTCACATACATCGATACTGTTCACACATCATCATGTTCTGCCTCTGATATACTGCGACCTTTACCAATATTGACATTTGAACATTGCATTTATAAAATTATCTAGCCTTTATAAACAATACCACTACAGCCGTGACCTGGGACAAGGATGCGCAGGTCCTCTATATTAATAGCCATCTCAATCGTGTTTGAACTCTGCTGACCCAATAAATCTCATCGCAATTACAAACGAGACAAGGTAAATTAAATCGGCTCGGGGTCACCACCGGCTCCCCAATAAAGTTTAACCTCCCAATTAGATGGCGAGCGTACGCCGCCGTCGAGCCATTGGCGAATCAAAAGGCAAACTATTCGCGCAAATTATCTACGGTGTGATTGAGCGATAGGAGACTATTGATTTTGGCAATATGATCAATGTCATCGGGATTGATATCAGCGTCGGTTTTGCGCTAAATATTCGCCGCTCACTTGACACATTCAGTGCAGAGATATCAAAAACAATAGAAATCAAGGCTGCAACCCAAATACATCAATCTAGAGTACTGATTGATAAGGGACCATAAAACGATAAGAGACAGGAACAGCTCATGAGTTTACGAGCTTTAAAACGGTCGTCACCGCCATTTGGAGCTGCGGTGGCGAGGGCACGCGCTGATTGGCCAACGGTTATGTATTTAAAATTGGATGATAACATGAGAACCAGCAATTCTCATTTGGTGCTCCGTTTTCTCAGATGTTTTGCAAATGTACAGGTGGTGTGCAATAACACGCAGAGATAAGCGATTTGCGAAACGAGGTCTATCTACTTTTATTAAAACAGAGCAAAATTTTGTTTTTGCAATGTGTTTTATCAACAACTGTCTTATCAGTTCCAGTAATAAGAACCAGTACCCATTAAACGCTTTCAGACCCAGCCATCGTTTTAGCTAATGGAAAATGGCAAATCATAATTATGATGAGGAGTCCTCATCATCTAATGTAAGTTAAGTCCCCATTGAGGAGTAATCTAATGTAATTAATAACATTAGATTCAACTGCAGTCTTATCAAATATTTAGCAGGCGGGTGTATAAACCAATATTCATGTCGATCGATAAAGGTTGCGTGCAATCATATGATTTTTGACAGAGAATGGAACAGTGGTTTTAGACCGTGTATAATACCTATCTAGTTTTCGTACGACATATTTGATTCGTTCCTTTTAAGTCAATAATTTATATCTGGTAAGGTATCGTAAGTGGCAAGAAGCATTAATATAGATTGGTAGATAGGTAGTAGGAATTTCTCTATATGTTTATTAGAAGAATATACAATTGTTTATGCAAGTTCCCATTCTTTTAGATAGCTAAAACAATGTCTTAAGGCCTGTCCAGATATAAGCTTGTTTCACACTCGTTTCGTATTTTAGTGCGCGATCATAAGGCTAAATAAGAACAATCCATCTAGAAGAAACTGAATCACGCGCAAAGCACCTCACCTAGACAAGCTTTCATACGACAATACTCACCATCTTGGCGAGCATGGAGTCCATCTGCGGCTGGTGCGTGGCGGTGAGCAGGTGCCGGATGCGCGCGGCGTTGGCCACGCACTGCGCCATGCAGCGCTGCAGCGCCGCCGCCTGCCGCACCAGCGACGCGCTCAGCGGCACTCCCTCGCCTCCGCCCCCGCCGCTGCCGGCACTGCCGCCGCCCCGCAGCACGGACTCCAGCACGTGCGCGTGCTGAGACACGTAGTCCAGGCAACGACGCAGCTCCACCGCCTCGCGTCGCTGACGCTCTACACATAGACACACCCGAACTCTTCAAATATGTCCAGTACTTATTTAAAGAAGTCGGAGTTTCACGCTGTAGGTAACATTGCAGAGACAGCGGATCGTCTTATGGCCATGGAATTTTAAAATATACTGCTGACCGGTGAAGAAATTTATGGATGTTGACTTTAGATATATAGCTATAGTAGTAATTGATATGAAAGATCTGTGATTTATATTTTTTTAATGAAGATATCTGTATATAACTCAACAACAGCAACTGCTTTATTAAAATTTAAATTGAAGGAAGGTAATGTATCATATACCAAATACAATAAAGAATATATCTACATTATCGTGGGTAGGGCTGAAGAGATGAAAACAACATTAAAACTGATATGCAAACCACTTATTAATGTTGGTTAAAAATATAAACATAGCTCTTCTCATGCTCCTCTTACAAAAAAAAACAACACTTGAAAAAGGTCCAACTTCTGTACTACCAGATTAATGGTAAAGAAAATTTTGTTTATCACCTAACAGAAATGTAGTATTGGATTATTTTATTAAATAAGAACTAGTTAAAAGCCTATTTCATTATTTTTTTATAGCTTTTAAATAATTCTCGAGTTAGAAAATGATAAAAAATTTAACTTCCACGAATACTAAAAATACCAATTAACACATTAATAAGTGATGTATTTTTAGTTACCATTAATCCATTGTCAGATTTATCTGATATATCTGGACCTCTATACTTTTCTTTGGTTTCATATTGGTCCAGATTTTTAGCTTGGTATTTGCATAATGAAAAAATGTGTAAGAAATGTAAAGAAATTATTACTAGAATTCCACGCAGAGCAGCAGACGGGACTCGAACCCGCACCCTTCGCTATCTAGGTGAATGCACTGACCATTATGCCACTGTGGCCATGTCGAATTCTTTCTAGCCTTTCTTAAGCTGATGAATACCTTTACAAGTAATAAACATTTAAAAAAAGAAATAGCAATTAGTTATAATTTATATTTAAAAATTAAAATTATATGTAAGAAATGTCATATCAGTATTCTTTTTACTAATTCATCATCCATCAAACGTTGTTTGTATTTTGTGAGTAAAATATCCTGACTTTTAATACACAAAGTGTATGTCCAGGTTTCTCAGGAATTTCCAAATTCCTAATGGTATCGCTATGAGCAGGTAAATAGGAAGCATGAATAATTTTATTCCAACCAAGTAATAAAACTTAACATACTATATTTGTAAATATTTTAAGACTTCCAGCAGCAATTAAAGATGTCAATTAAATGGAATTGATCATAGTGATGTGTTGTATCGCTCTATTTTGCATTGTATTAATATGTATACACACACATTACGTTGTACATTGAAAAAATAATAAACACCTCTGAAAAATTGCCTGGAGAAATCTCAACAATAATTACTCTAATAAAATTGTTAGTTGGTGAAATTTATATCTCCAATATTGACTTGGGATATGTTTTAATAAACTGAAATATGATAACCAAGATCATGAAAAAGAGGTAGAGAGTAGGTATTAGTACTATTAGTTATAACTTTTTTACATAGGTAATATTACATTTTCAGCTTCCGTGATCATAATGTTTATCAAATTATTAAAAATGCATGTAACCTACCATGGTAATCGTATATTTTTTGCGTTCTCCTTAAATATTTCTCTTCTTGCAATTGCCTATCTGCTTGAGCTTGCCTTTCTCGGACCTCCAGGACCTCGAGAAATGAGGAAAACAAGGATTTTCTTTCGTTGTTGGTCGTAACGGTTTCTTGCATTTTGATAACAGAAAATTTAGTTCAATGGCTAATTTATTAAAGGCAATGTTATTGTCTAAATACAAAGATATTTGATTTCTTTACTGATTAAGTTTTAAATCTTAATAATAAAAGAAATTTAATAAAAATAAATAGAACTGAAATTTCAAAATCACACAACCTATTCCGCCTCCGAACTGATAACAACTGACCATAGATTTTCTTTCTATAATATCAATGGAGAAGTAGAGGTTAAGAAAATTCTCACAAATACAAGGCAATAGGTATGAGCGTCATACAGCCTAAATGAATTCATTGTTTTATATGATCGGCCAAAAAATGCGCACTAACCTTTAAAGCTAACTAATTTTAAATTGAGTATTTAGTATGAATAACAAATAACTTTTATTTTCCACTTCTTGTAAACCTCAAAATAGGAAAACGACAATCTGCGAAAATGCTGGTGTGTTTTCACTGTCAGAATGTGAACACAGTATTTATAAATTGTTGGAAGATTGTGACTATCATTATTTAAATTATTAGCCTGTTTCAATTGAATCTAAAGAGCTATAATAGTTGGTAAACGCGTTGTGGTAGTTTTTTTACTATAAAATTAACTCAGTAAAAATATCTATGGACTTTGGTTGTTTCGTGAATAGGAAACGAACTCAATGCGATGAGTTGAGTTTTTGGAACTGTCAAGCTGTCATGTCAAAATAATATTTTAGCAAAAGTTGAAGGAAAGCGGCTCGGCTACTAAATTAATTAAGATTCTAAGGAAAGTAATAAGTTATTCCAAACATATATAATGGCCCGTGAAAGCAGTGCTGGTTTTGATAGACACATTACAATCTTCTCACCCGAGGGAAGATTGTACCAAGTCGGTAAGTAAAATACACAATAATGCATATAACTTTGGAACCTTTCCATCTAAAGAGTTTTCTCTTAATTCATAGTTTATACGCTGTGAAATTAAAGTAAACTTAATTTTACCAACATCTCATGAATACATTTCAAGTTAACTCTCGTACAAGTTGTAGGTTAGTATTTAAATATTGTAATGTCATCGTTTGCAGGTATTCAATGTTAGTTGATAATCAATGAATGGTATGGTTTGAGTGAGTGGTTTTGTTTAGAATATGCCCTGAAGGCGATCAACCAGGGCGGGCTGACGTCCGTGGCGCTGCGCGGGGCGGACGCGGCGGTGGTGGCGGCGCAGCGGAAGGTGCCGGACCGCCTGCTCGACCCCGCCTCCGTCACGCACCTGTTCCGCCTCACCAGCCGCATCGGCTGCGTCATGACCGGCATGATTGGTACCTACATCATATCATTACTTACTGTACTTCATAATGTGGAATTTATACACTCTGTTCTCCACTTTAGTCATAAATTATAACTATTGACGTGATATATCTCGTCAATAGTTATAATTTATGGCATGATTGATAGCTACATCATATTATTACTTACTGTACTTCATAATGTGGAATTCATACACTCTGTTCTCCACTTTAGTCGTAAATTATAACTATTGACGTGATATATCTCGTCAATAGTTATAATTTATGGCATGATTGGTAGCTACATCATATTATTTTTGACGACCTCCGTGGCCGAGTGGTTTGTACGCCGGGTTTCATGGCTGTCGCCGACTCGAGAGGTCCCGGGTTCGAATCCCGGTGGGGGCAGATGTTTGTGTGATGAATACGAGCATTTGTACTCCAGTCATGGATGTTTAATATGTATTTATATAAAATATACTTATATATGTACAGTATATGTATTCTATCCGTTACCCTAGCATCCCATAACACAAGCCTTATAGTGCTTACTTTGGGGCTAGGCTAATTGGTGTGAGTGTTGTTATTTATTATTATTATTATTATTATTACTTACTGTACTTCATAATGTGGAATTCATACACTCTGTTCTCCACTTTAGTCGTAAATTATAACTATTGACGTGATATATCTCGTCAATAGTTATAATTTATGGCATGATTGGTAGCTACATCATATTATTACTTACTGTACTTCATAATGTGGAATTCATTCACTCTGTTCTCCACTTTAGTCGTAAATTATAACTATTGACGTGATATATCTCGTCAATAGTTATAATTTATAGCATGATTGGTAGCTACATCATATTATTACTTACTGTACTTCATAATGTGGAATTTATACACTCTGTTCTCCACTTTAGTCATAAATTATAACTATTGACGAGATATATCTCGGCACTGTTGCAAGTATTGATGATTGGTGTAGCAGTTGCAGCAGCTGTACCAGCTATCTTCGCGTTTGGACTTTATTACCACTTAACATCAGGTGAGGCAGAGTCATTTGCCTACCTTTATATAAAAAAAAGTGCCATCACAGAGATCATGATCACAGAGTCATGGCACTTGCAACAGTGCCGAAATATCAGAGACTCATGTAAACAAATACATGGTAACAATCCCGTTAATAGCTATAATGTTAGTGACCATGAAAGTTTAGTCATAAATATCTATTAGTAGCCAAAAAATCAGGTAAGTATGCTGTCTAAATTAACCTTCTTTTTAATCATTAAGTATAAAATATTAGTAACATACTAGGGATGTCATCATGAGAAATGAGTCATACAGATGTAACTGGGATATAGAGATTAATATGTGTAGTTTAATGTTTATGTGTGTGCATCTCGTAAATCCTCTTCTGATGCCATAATTAATAAAATTGTGAGTAGCTATGAACCTGTATTGTATTTCCAATAATTGTACATAACCTAGTTCCTCTAGATCAGTGGTTCTTAAGGGATGATCCCTGGAAGCATCTGAACTGGTCTGCAAAGTTATTTGAAAAAATATTACATAAGGAAGAACGCTGATTTATTTACTGATGGCCTGTAGAAAGACAGATATTTTGACAAATGGTCCCTTATCACTAAGGTTAAGAACCACTGCTCTAGATAAACACATCAAAATTGTTTATAACCAATATGTCAAAGAATTTGCAATTTCTATTCAATAACTTAGATTGATTGATTATGTGAATGATATTTCTATTAAGGACACACAAAACAATTTGTAAGTTCTATAAACTTATTAGTTTGTTAACATTACTAAGATAATCTGAACATATTAACACTGTTTTAAAATTCTTCAGCGGACAGTCGGTCTCAAGTACAGAGAGCTCGCTATGAAGCAGCAAACTGGCAGTACAAGTATGGCACAGAGATCCCAGTCCACATCCTGTGCCGACGTATTGCTGATATCTCACAGGTCTACACACAGAATGCAGAGATGAGACCTTTAGGATGCAGTAAGTAACTAATAATCAATGAATATTCCTCTGTATGAAACAGAAATGCAAATATCCACACTGAAAGAGCCTGGTGATCTAGACTGAATTTGTAATAAGCAGTGGCATGATCATTGAAGTCCTGGCATTGGTCTGACTGTCCTACTGGCCCATAGTAATTAAAATATGTACACATATTTGATAACAATAATTGTGGGTTATCTACAATGTGAAGAAATGGCGCTGCCTTGCAACTTAAGAATGGCTAGAGGAATTTCGACGCGGCCGTCAGGGCCGCGGTAGTATAATTGGTCAGTGCATTCGCCCGGATTGCGAAGGGTGCGGGTTCGAGTCCCGTCTGCTGCCTGGTGGATTTTTTTCTAGTTATATATTCTTTAGATTTAAACATCAAGCAGTTACCTTCTTAAAAATTAAAATTATAACAATATCTTTTGCATTCTCTCCTACTTTTAGGTTTATAGTTTTATTATAGACATTTTTTCCTACAGAATACCTTAAGGTAGGGACAAACTGAACCTACGTATGCAACGTAAACACACTCAGAAGGATCAGTTTGTTCCTACCTTAATTGTTTGTAATTGTAAACATTTTTCGTTTAGGTATGATGTTAATTGCGTATGATGATGAGACCGGACCATGTGTATACAAGACTGACCCCTCTGGGTACTACTGCTCCTACAAGGCTGTAGCAGTCGGAGCTAAGGTAAGCAGTTCGTGCTCAAATGTATGTAGTTGTATGCTTAAATGTTCTATTCAATTGATTTGAGCACCTCGCATGGCTAACCACATTTGCTATTTGTAAATTTGAAAGCAGTTTTATTCTCAATAAAGCAGTTTATTTATCTCCTGTAAAATGTACTAATAGCCTGTAACAGCCTCAGTAAGACAAGTGGATTTCATAATTTTGCATTTGAAATAGAAAATTACAAAGTTGTATATTGATATTGTGAATGTTGTGTTATCAAATACAATTTTCCATTCTCTACAAAATAGCATCAATTTGGAGCAAAATTCCACACCTAAATAACTATAAAATGATGTCGATTCTGGCATGATTCTCTAAAGCTAAACTTAAATTTGACAACAGTGCATCCCTGTCATTCTCTATACAGAATGAAAAGGAGAGACTGATGTTAAATTTAGTTTTAAGTTTAGAGAATCACGCCAGAATCGACACCAATATCAACTATCATTATTAATGTAATTTCTACTTTTATTTGGTGTACAACAGCTTGCTTGCATCTATTTCAAATTGCATTCCATAAATGTTAGCATTTTAGTTTCATCCTGTAACTTGGTTTTATCAAACTATTTAGGAGTGTACAATGTAATTAAAGTATTCTCACCATTCAACTATACAACACCCAATGCTGAACATAGGCCTCCCCTAAAGATCGCAACATTGATCAGTACCCTAAGTACGAGTTTGAGCTCACGAAAACTATCATAGTTTTCGTAATTGTAAATTATGTTTCTATGTCCATTTTGGTGAAAAGTAACCAAATATTCTTAAAATTTAAGAAGACGCAAACAATTTAATGATATAATTTAAACACTGTTTATTTGTATTGAAACGAAAACAATAAAATCAGTACCCTAGTACGAGTGCGAGCTCACGAAAACTATCATAGTTTCGTAATTGTAAAACTCGTACTAAGGGTACAGTCCTCCAACCTATTCCCTACCAGTTTTTGACAAATGATAGCCATTGAGCTATTTACTGATCCACCGCTGCTTTTTCTCTGCTTGTCCTGAGAAAAGCGTTTATATTTATGTAATTTGCTCTATAGTTACACACTGTAATGTCAAAAAAGTAATTGAATAGGTCAACTGGAGTGTATAATTACAGTATAATATATCGAATGATAGAGCTAGATGGCGCAAGTGGTTAGCGTGAAGTTAAGCAACCTTCATAGTGGTCGGTCATTGGATGGGTGACAAAAAATTTACTATCTCGAGCTGCTGCTGCATCTGCTGTCATTAGCACGACCAGTGAGGTGTGTTGATCCAATCTTCCTATTTTATCCATAGGGAAGGCCTGTGCTCCAGCAGTAGGACATTAAAAGGCTGCCAATTATGTCCCGAAATGTATTGATGTAATTTACTCACTGCATGTCAAAAAGTTAGTGAATAGGTCAACTGAGCTGTCCAATTACAGTATACAGTGTGTTCCAAAACTTTGCCACATGGAGAAGAAGTACCTTAATTTAAGATTAACTTTAAATTTCATACTCTCCTTTTTATTTAGATGCTACGGTACTAAGAAGAAGTAGATCTCAGTATAATTTTCACATTTCGTGGGTACGACTCCTCTTTCGATTCAGAGAGGCGATTTTATAAATTCTTTAAATGCAGTTCGTGTTGTTTTTTAATAAAAATGAAGTCTTCTATCGGCAAAACATTATATTTACATTATTTTATGTTGGTATGGTTGTTGTAGACAACGGACGCGAACGCTTACTTGGAGAAGAAACTGAAGAAGCGTGGCCTCGTGGCCGCCGACGAGGCGGTGCAGCTCGCCGTCGCCTGCCTGGCGCACGTGCTCGCTGTCGACTTCAAGCCGCACGAGCTGGAGGTCGGACTCGTCACCAAGGACGACCCCAACTTCAGGTATTATATGTGTGCTCGCCGTCGACTTCAAGCCGCACGAGCTGGAGGTCGGACTCGTCACCAAGGACGACCCCAACTTCAGGTATTATATGTGTGCTCGCCGTCGACTTCAAGCCGCACGAGCTGGAGGTCGGACTCGTCACCAAGGACGACCCCAACTTCAGGTATTATATGTGTGCTCGCCGTCGACTTCAAGCCGCACGAGCTGGAGGTCGGACTCGTCACCAAGGACGACCCCAACTTCAGGTATTATATGTGTGCTCGCCGTCGACTTCAAGCCGCACGAGCTGGAGGTCGGACTCGTCACCAAGGACGACCCCAACTTCAGGTATTATATGTGTGCTCGCCGTCGACTTCAAGCCGCACGAGCTGGAGGTCGGACTCGTCACCAAGGACGACCCCAACTTCAGGTATTATATGTGTGCTCGCCGTCGACTTCAAGCCGCACGAGCTGGAGGTCGGACTCGTCACCAAGGACGACCCCAACTTCAGGTATTATATGTGTGCTCGCCGTCGACTTCAAGCCGCACGAGCTGGAGGTCGGACTCGTCACCAAGGACGACCCCAACTTCAGGTATTATATGTGTGCTCGCCGTCGACTTCAAGCCGCACGAGCTGGAGGTCGGACTCGTCACCAAGGACGACCCCAACTTCAGGTATTATATGTGTGCTCGCCGTCGACTTCAAGCCGCACGAGCTGGAGGTCGGACTCGTCACCAAGGACGACCCCAACTTCAGGTATTATATGTGTGCTCGCCGTCGACTTCAAGCCGCACGAGCTGGAGGTCGGACTCGTCACCAAGGACGACCCCAACTTCAGGTATTATATGTGTGCTCGCCGTCGACTTCAAGCCGCACGAGCTGGAGGTCGGACTCGTCACCAAGGACGACCCCAACTTCAGGTATTATATGTGTGCTCGCCGTCGACTTCAAGCCGCACGAGCTGGAGGTCGGACTCGTCACCAAGGACGACCCCAACTTCAGGTATTATATGTGTGCTCGCCGTCGACTTCAAGCCGCACGAGCTGGAGGTCGGACTCGTCACCAAGGACGACCCCAACTTCAGGTATTATATGTGTGCTCGCCGTCGACTTCAAGCCGCACGAGCTGGAGGTCGGACTCGTCACCAAGGACGACCCCAACTTCAGGTATTATATGTGTGCTCGCCGTCGACTTCAAGCCGCACGAGCTGGAGGTCGGACTCGTCACCAAGGACGACCCCAACTTCAGGTATTATATGTGTGCTCGCCGTCGACTTCAAGCCGCACGAGCTGGAGGTCGGACTCGTCACCAAGGACGACCCCAACTTCAGGTATTATATGTGTGCTCGCCGTCGACTTCAAGCCGCACGAGCTGGAGGTCGGACTCGTCACCAAGGACGACCCCAACTTCAGGTATTATATGTGTGCTCGCCGTCGACTTCAAGCCGCACGAGCTGGAGGTCGGACTCGTCACCAAGGACGACCCCAACTTCAGGTATTATATGTGTGCTCGCCGTCGACTTCAAGCCGCACGAGCTGGAGGTCGGACTCGTCACCAAGGACGACCCCAACTTCAGGTATTATATGTGTGCTCGCCGTCGACTTCAAGCCGCACGAGCTGGAGGTCGGACTCGTCACCAAGGACGACCCCAACTTCAGGTATTATATGTGTGCTCGCCGTCGACTTCAAGCCGCACGAGCTGGAGGTCGGACTCGTCACCAAGGACGACCCCAACTTCAGGTATTATATGTGTGCTCGCCGTCGACTTCAAGCCGCACGAGCTGGAGGTCGGACTCGTCACCAAGGACGACCCCAACTTCAGGTATTATATGTGTGCTCGCCGTCGACTTCAAGCCGCACGAGCTGGAGGTCGGACTCGTCACCAAGGACGACCCCAACTTCAGGTATTATATGTGTGCTCGCCGTCGACTTCAAGCCGCACGAGCTGGAGGTCGGACTCGTCACCAAGGACGACCCCAACTTCAGGTATTATATGTGTGCTCGCCGTCGACTTCAAGCCGCACGAGCTGGAGGTCGGACTCGTCACCAAGGACGACCCCAACTTCAGGTATTATATGTGTGCTCGCCGTCGACTTCAAGCCGCACGAGCTGGAGGTCGGACTCGTCACCAAGGACGACCCCAACTTCAGGTATTATATGTGTGCTCGCCGTCGACTTCAAGCCGCACGAGCTGGAGGTCGGACTCGTCACCAAGGACGACCCCAACTTCAGGTATTATATGTGTGCTCGCCGTCGACTTCAAGCCGCACGAGCTGGAGGTCGGACTCGTCACCAAGGACGACCCCAACTTCAGGTATTATATGTGTGCTCGCCGTCGACTTCAAGCCGCACGAGCTGGAGGTCGGACTCGTCACCAAGGACGACCCCAACTTCAGGTATTATATGTGTGCTCGCCGTCGACTTCAAGCCGCACGAGCTGGAGGTCGGACTCGTCACCAAGGACGACCCCAACTTCAGGTATTATATGTGTGCTCGCCGTCGACTTCAAGCCGCACGAGCTGGAGGTCGGACTCGTCACCAAGGACGACCCCAACTTCAGGTATTATATGTGTGCTCGCCGTCGACTTCAAGCCGCACGAGCTGGAGGTCGGACTCGTCACCAAGGACGACCCCAACTTCAGGTATTATATGTGTGCTCGCCGTCGACTTCAAGCCGCACGAGCTGGAGGTCGGGCTCGTCACCAAGGACGACCCCAACTTCAGGTATTATAGTATGTCACAACAGAGACAAGACCGGGTTTAAGGCAGAGCTGTCGCGGCGGTGGCCCACAAGATAAAAAATTAACTACGGGCCACCACCGGTGGACAGTGCAAATATTAAGTGGCTTGGAGCTCCAGACCTTCGTTGCCCCTGGGCCTTCATATCTCTCAACATGGCTCTAACCAGAGAACTCATATAAAAGTATTTTAAGTATTCATTGTGGCTTTAAGAATTTAGCAACTTTACTGAGGCTTTTGATCGTGTTATCATGAAATGTATATATGGTCAGTTTTAATTAATCAAACTCCAGTAAAGGTAGGCCCCCTAGAACTGCGTTGCGGAAAAAAATATCCTTTCCTTTTACTGGAGGTTGATTATTGAAACTGGCCATCAGAGATACTTTTGTAGTTTTTATCATTATATATTGTGATATGTTCCAGAATTTTGTCATTTATGATAAAATATCTGTGTTCGATGCTTAAAATGGGAGATCTGCAGAGTTAAATTTTTGTCTTGTTTAATGTCTTTATTATTTATTTGAGTGATATGTTCCAGAATTTTGACATTAATGGTAAAAATTCTGTGTTCGATACTTAAAATGGGAGATCTGTGAGCAAAATTTTTGCCTTATAGTTTTGTGTTATTTGATGTCTTTATTATTTATTCAATGTTTAAAATAATTCCCTTTTTTCCTTAATGAAATGTTTTTAACTATGTCAACAATAAGGTATTGACAGTATCAAAAATAACGTGGGGATTCAAATAACAGAAATAATATTCATAATTGTACTAAAAATTACTATTAACTTACTTAATTACTATTGTCACGTGACCGAAAACGCCTGGGATTGGCGGAGCCTAGAATTTCGTCACACGCTAGTAAACTTCCGGTTTGAATGACATTACATTGTATCGTTGAACGTTTTAATGACAGTCGCGCACGTCACATACCAGTGAGACGCCATATTGTCCAGAGAAACGTTTCGTGGCAACTTTAAAATGGAGTTTTTGATTTAGTTATTTTTACTGAAATACACAACAAAATGATGAATATCTACTTTTTATGGCCTTCATAAACGAGAGATCGTTTTCTAAAACTTGTCAAATACCCTATTGTATTTCTAAGGTAGTTTTACTGACTAATGCCAATTATAATTAAAGGGAAGCTTCGAAACACTAATGCAAAATATGTTTTACAGGGTCCTCTCCGAGAGCGAAATCGACAGACACTTAACTGCAATCGCCGAAAAGGATTAAGGGAGCTGGGAAATAATAGTTCTTATATCTGTATATCTTTTTTAATAAACGCCTTCACTTACATTATGTTATATTATTACTACCCAAAAGTATTTACAGCTAAGTACACTTGCACAAGGGACAGGTACTGATCGACTACAAATAAAGATTATTATTAACGATCTTCAATGCTATTGCGATAATGGCTAAAACTAGTCATCAAAGACTTATGCGAAGTCTCCGAGCAGCATTCCCTCTTCGTTGCGTCTCACGCTTTGAACTAAAGCGGCCGGTAATTCCGGCACAGTGCGCGTGAAGTTGTGCAGTTCGCAGCAGAAAACCAGTCCATAAAGCGGCACCTCGTAGTGCCTGTTGCGATGCAACTCGCGAAGCCACGCCGCCCGCCCGCACATACTGTCGCAGAACACCGCCTCCCTGATCTCGCTGACGGCCACGAACGGATCGTTGAGGAGCACCAGCGCCAGGCCGGCGTGGCTGACGGGGTCGACGACCGCGGTCCACACGTACAGCGGCACCGGGAACCGCCGCGCCGCGCTCAGATATAACTCCACGCGTTTATTATCCGCCCCTCGCAGCGACGCGACGCCGTGGGTGCCCGCGTGCACTTCCAACTCCCGGTTCAAACTCAACAGGCGGGCCACGTCCGCCCTCAGATGCTTCAGATTCCCATCGGCGACGCTCCGCCACACGGCCACCTCGTTGGAGACGAAGTCGGCCGCGCGCATCTCCTGGTCTTTGAAGTAGTGCGGCGCGAGCAGACTCGCCGACGTCAAAGTCTGGCCGGCTAAAGAGACGCGGTCGTGTTTGAGGATCTCTTGGAGACGCCGATTGAGGCTGGCGCGGTCGCGGTAGAGCCGCTCGGCGTCGCGGCGCGTGCGCGCGTCGAACATGTGGTTGAAGTTGCCGAGCAGCGTGAGGGGCGCGGCGCGGTCGTTGTGCGGCGCCAGCGTGAGGCGGCCGGCCCGCGCGCGTTCCGCCCGCCCGCGGTCCGCGTCGAAGCACACCAGCGCCAGGTGCCGCGTGCGACCCGCCGACACCTGCAGCTGGTATGCTCGCCCTTGCAGCGGCGGGGGGCAGTGCTCCACCTATGCGCATATAGATTATGTGTTACGAATATTTTACTGGCAAATCGGACACCCCATAGGAGTACAGACGTATATCTGCTGACTCCTCCATAACCTCGACACATTTTAATGCAGTTTTTATCATTAGTCAAGTTCGATATCACGGACGGTTTATTTGATTAATATATGCCCAGACCGAAAAATGTGTTAATAGATATTTCTACATAACGAAACCAAACCGGAGGGACGTTACCCTACGAGAGGAGACGATTCATCGTGCGGTAGGTACAAGTAGTGACATAGTTACCTGTTGTAACACGTTTTCCATCTAACACACTCCTGACACCCTTACTCCAGTAGATGCATAGGCTGCGAGGGAAGAACGACTTATCTGTGGATACGTATAGACAGACCTGCCCCTCTAGCATGAGGACTGCGTTATGACATTTTAGATGCGATAAAAACGTGACAATGTAAATTGGATTGGTCATGCTACCGGGACTGGATCGTGTAGATAAAGCGACGTGATGCCGAACTTTCTCCAGCACGCTCTCTTGGCGCACCAACTCCGGCAGATACTTCAGACTACCGTCATGCAGCAGAACCGTAATGACCCTGCGAGGGAACTACTTCTCTATCGAGACCTGGTGGAGCATGTTCTCCAAAACGCTCTCCTGGCACTCCAACTACAGCTGATGTGTCAGGCTATGACTAAGATGCAAACGGCGACGAAACAAATCATATGTGGATATAGACAGGGACTTGGTACAAAACGTCCTCCAGCACGCGCATCTGGCACCCGAGCTCCAGCATGTGCATCAGGCTGCGGTCATGATGCAAAACCGTTCCTGCGAGGAAATTTCCACCCATAATATGAAAAGGTATAGACAGAAACCTGATGTATGAGCACACTCAGGAGAGTGTGCTCATACATCAGGTTTCTGTGCCAGGAGGCACCCTAACTCCAGCAGACGCCTCAAGCTGCGGTCGTGATGCAAAGCCGTAATGACCCTGCAAAGAAACTACTAGTCATCCTGCAGATAAGTATAGATAGTGACCTGGTGCAGTACATCCTCCAGCACACTCTCCTGGCACCCTAGCTCCAACAAATGCCTCAGAGTGTGGTCGTGATGCAGCCGGTAGCGGCCCGCCTCGCACACAGCCGTGAGCGTGGTCCGCAGCGGGAACGCGAGGAACTTGCCCCCGCCGCAAGACAGCAACACCTCATCTCTGCTCTGGGCCCGCACGCTGCCGTTCACGGCGCGGTGGGACGTCACCAGCGGCATGTTGTCCGGGATGCATTCCGGACACTCCAGATCGATTATGCATGGCGCTGGAATTGAGTATTAAACAGGGTCAAGGACCAATAATGATGTTGACCAGGGCAGGGTACCTATTACCGGGAGTAATGTGGAGTCACCAGGATCCCATGAAACCCATTCCGTCAGACGAGGAAGCACTGTTGGGTTTTTAGTGGGTAGCCCCCTAAATTTTCCTTTAAAACTTTTACTTAAGTTATAACGTCATTACACAATTTATATAATAACTAGCTGACTCGGCGATTATCGTACCACTCAAAAGTAATAATTTGCAATAAAATAATATTGCGACTATAAATTGAGATGTACGAGTAAGCTATCCTATCTTTCAAGTTGGATCAAATTGCACACGGTGTGCAAATTAGGTTAAAATAAGTTAAGTACTTAGTTTAGGAGTCCATCCTGGACAAACAACGTGACGCATAATTTATAATTAGGTTGGGGGGAAAAGTTTCTTCACATTTTATATGGAAAATTCAAAACATTAAGTTTATTTTCATTTAACTTATGTATTTAGGTGTATTTTGTATGATCACTCTTTGCCTGCTTGTATTTTGTGCTTTTTAGGGACATGATCCCATTTCTATAGACATTTTGGGGCTTATGATCAAAAAACTGCGCCAAGCGGTTTTGGCAGTCCTCTCGTGATTTTACCCTAACACTGCCTAAAGAATTAAGAAGAGATCGAAACAGGTGGAAATCTGATGGTCTGAAGGTGAGGACTATAGTTACACTCTTAATTTTTGCTGAGTGACTAAATATGTGTGAGGTCTTACATTATCATGATAAAACCCTTCTGTTGATTAATTCCGGGTTGATTAAATTAATTAAGCTTTCTCTCAACTTCTTGCTTTAATCTCATCAGTTGTTCACAATGGAGTTCAGAATCGATGGTCCTACCTGGCGGTAACAGCTCATAATGAAGAATGTCCTTTCAATCCCACCCGACACATAGCATCATCTTGTTGTTGTTGCGAGTTAACCCGGGTTTCTCCATATTCTGTGAAATCTGACCGGCCTATATGACCAAGACTTTTCACACGTTCTTGTCGTACGTGATCCACGTTTCATCGCCATTTCAGCTTCTTCGAAAATGGATCACAAATTTTTTGGCGACTGGCGTTGCATTTTTACCATATTCGTAGTAAAATTTTAAAATGTAACGAATTTCTTCATTCGATTCACTCATTTTAACAGTAAGAAAAACAGATTAAAATCACCATTTTTTATTTGAATTTGGAATTATCTTCTTTACAATTAAAGCTTTTTAATGATTCCAAAACCCAGCCAGATACAAATTGTATAGCCAAAGAGATTTTATTACAAATTCATACATACTTTAATGCGAAAAGACATTCCACAACCAACATATTAAGAAAAAGCTTGTCACGAGATTTACCTGTGTAGCAAAATTAAAAAGTATAGGAAGATAATGGTTATTGTGGGTTATCCCTAAGAGATAGACATATACCATCGCGGACTTTTTTGTAGACCTTTTTAATGTGTACAATACTGTAGTACATTATTTTGATCTATCTCGTAGGGTTCAGCCAGCGTTTGCAATGTAAGCGCAAAAAAATTGTGTTTATTTACGACCTTACATTAAAAACCTCTAAAATTATCAGAGTTTCTCTAATATATTATGCATGTATTATACATATAAACCTTAATCTTGAATCACTCTATCTATTAAAAAAACCGCATCAAAATCCGTTGCGTAGTTTTAAAGATCTAAGCATACATAGGGACAGACAGCGGGAAGCGATTTTGCTTTATACTATGTAGTGATAAATTGTGTAATGGCGTTTTAAGTACCTACATAAGTAGTAAAAGTTTTAAAGGAAATTTTTATTTTATTATTTTTTTAACGCAATTAAATAAAACTTGTTTAATAAAACCTATTACATTTAATTTATTTTTAAAACTAAAGATTGTTTTCAGTGATACGCAGGGCAATAATAGTGGATTTGACAAGTATCTAAAATCATAAATTAAAATTTATTCAATGCTTAACAGTTCAATAGCTGATTTTGTGTGATTTTACCAATCGCATACATGCGTCGTTAGATAAATAATAGTATTCTTTCTTCAACATAAAAAAATCAGTAATTTGTACTTACGGTCTTCAGACGCTGCTATTTTCACTGAGAACACCAAAAAACAAACGCTGAACACCCAGGGCACCATGACTGCAGTATTTATTTATACAAAGAGGAAAACACGGTCTTGGAGACCTTACAGTATCGAGGTTAGTGGGCATACTGGACTCTTCGACTGCGGGTCTGAGCAGCGACCCTGCGATAGCGCGCAGACAATACGCTCAGATAACGGTTCAATAACAACACAACAGCATGTTATTTTCAAATAATACCTACCTTTATGTTCAAAGAAAAACACCACTAATTGACGTGGAAATATTCCACCTGCATCTATAGGTATTGATGCAGGAAGGGTAACAGTGCCTCTAGATATTAATAAAAGAAAGTTTTTTAAACATGCTAAAACAGTTCGTAAATACAAAATTTTGAGGCATGTTTAAAAAAGTTTAATAATCAAATTTAAAATTGATTCTTGTGCAACAGATACAAAACTTCATCTTTCTAATACTCTAAATAATAAGGATTTCTAAATTATGAAGTAGTCTTCTGAGCTATATTTTTACGAACTATATTGTTATGGCTCAATTACACTAAATCGTTAGCCCGAATTCGGATGCCCGAAAGACATTACTCGAATTCGGGCACCCGAAGCAATATTTACATCTACAATACGGGCGTACTCGACTCTATTTATCTACACTAAGTTGTTTACCCAAATTCTATTGGCATTTTGGTCAGTTAGAGAATATTTAGAAACGAAAATTGATTAGAATAGAATAAGTAAAATGACATAAGTACCTTTAAATTTTAGAATTAAATTAAGTTTGACATTCACATACCCTGTCGTTGGCAACATGGACGAACTAAATGAAAATCACCACCAAAATGTATCTACACTGTTTTGTGTGAATAAATAAATTTCATTTCTTGTGTTCGGGCTAACGATCAAGTATAAACGCGCCCATTACAATAGTATCTTATAATAATTAAAAATAAAGTTCTCGATGTGACTCGAAATAAAAAAACAAACTATTACGACAGTAGTTTAATATGAACATAATATACAATATGCCGATGTTTATTTATAAAAGCGGGTAAAAACCGACGAGACACATACACCGTACGATAAAATAGTTTTTATTTATTTATTCAATGTATCAACGTATATAATTATAATATTATAGAGTACATAATAAATTACCTATGGTTTTGTAACGGTCCAAATTCTTGTTTCATAAATCACACATGCTCGTGAGAAATTCAAAGGAATTTGGACTGAATCCGCGCCGCCGCCGTATGCCGCGAGGCAGCGCGGCCATTGCACATCATGGAAAAGTGGTCGACGTAAAACATCAGGGGCTGCTATACGAAACTCAACTTTATTCACTTGCTATACAAACGAAATTGGTGCAAGACTAAAGTTGCGAATAGACACTTTTTTATAAAATAAGTTGAAGAACAAAGTCCAGTGTTTCCCGTTTCATGTACGTCGGCTGTAAATGCAGTGTGAATGTAATCTATTGCTTCTGCAGATATGTAACTGTTTACGAATAATGCTACATAAAAGCTAAATAAAATCCCACGTGGTGGCTCCAAATAAAAGCTTACAATATAACGTTAAGTATAAGGGGGGCGTTCAAGTATTACGTAAAGCAAATGTTGAAGATGTTTCACCCCCTCTCCCCCCATACACGTTACGTAACACCCAATTGACCAATTTTTACCCACTTGTCACAACTATGTTGCGGGAACTACCGGAAAGTCGCTAAATTACTTTTGTTATTGTTTTATGTATATTTATGTATTAATAGTAATTAATAATTACTAGTATTTGATTGATGTGTAACATCTTTCCTCTCGCTTTCCTGCAATTTGTGGGAGGATTTCGTGAAATGGGACGGAAGTAAGTAACAGGAAGTCGCGAAAGCGCACGCTATTTGATTTGATTTTAGAACATAATGTTCAAATGGCTTATTCCTTTTGTAGTAGATTTTATTTCTTTTTTTACTAATATAAGGTGAGGTTTCAAATGTTACACATCATACGCGACTGTGATGTAATACATCATACTGTAAGGCTCAATCGTTTTTTTTATTCATATATCTATTAAGTAAACTTTAAACTTTGGCAAACCATAAACGAAAAGGGTTGCCAACTTGGGAGATTTTAATACCCTACATTTTTTTAATTAAATAAAAACAATGTTACGTAACGCGTTCATCGACACCCCCCCCCTCCCCCCCCCTCCTGTAACGCATCGTAACGTTTTACAAGACCCCCCTCCTACCCCACAATTTGCGTTACGTAATACTTAAACGCCCCCTAACGCATGCTATCAGTACCTGGCCGAAAATATATCTACTGCACATCTGCCTCTATGCTCTATAATAAGTTTGGATAACAAGCGTTTTATAAGAATGTACATACTGACACAATCAGAATCGCAACGAGAGCTAACAGCGAGAATAATAGGTAAACAAGAGCAACAATCACTCGGAACAATAGAAAAATATATCGAGAACAATGTACAAATGCAAAACACATAATTACAAATTCATCTAACGAAACTGTGCTATATTAAACCTCCGAATTAATTTCAGATTCGGCAAATAAAGTTCATCATTGGCATCGCATAAGTTGATTGCCGTTCAATGTGATAATTCCACGAAACCATCTTGGGATTCGACTTTATACTGGAATAGTTCAATAAATTATACAGTTCTTAGAGACCAAATACGATATAATCTAATGACTAACAGCTCGCGAGTCTAAGGGTGCGGCCAGAGTGCACTCAGATTCAGATTCCGAAAACAAGCGCGAGAAATAAACAGTGTAGTCGAAGGGTACGGCCAGAGTGCACTCCTGATTCAGATTCAAACTCAGAAAACAAAGCGCGAGAAAAAGCAGGCAACCTGCATATACTACACTGTTTATTTCTCGCGCTTGTTTTCGGAATCTGAATCTGAGTCTGAATCTGAGTGCACTCTGGCCGCACCTTAACGCGGAATCATGACAATCAGTGATTGTTCTGTTGGTAGCCGCCGCGACCGCGTGTTATGATCGCGAACGAGCCCTGTCCTCCAAGCCGCCAACCCACCTCAATCCATCCATCTACGTAGCAACCATTTGGTTTAATAAGCCTGTTAATTGGATGCTCGCAGCGTTAAACGCCGGCATCCAATAAAATGGCTGAATGACAACTAGCCAAGTCATTGAATGTTAAACGTTACGTAGCCATTTAGTTAAAATGCATATTATTGATGATAAAAAAGCTCAACTAAATTTGAGGTACTTGGCTGAATATGGCGTCAGTCGAGTGATTTATTTATTATTTATACTTAATGCACAAGTGCACAAAGGCGGACTTAATGCCATAGGCATTCCTACCAGTCAACCATAGGGTGTTGTAAATAAATAGTGGTAGGGTGCACAAATTAGATGGAAAAAAAGACGAACAGATATAAATACGAAGTAGTCGTATACATAATTACAGTGATTCTACACGCCAAGTTGTCTTATCGACGTTGTCTTATTCTTGTTTCATAGCTCGACCTAGGCATCATAATGGATGCCGGCGTTTAATTAACGATCTAGGCGTCCAATTAGCTGGCTAACTTAACCAAAAGGCTGCAATATACAAGTACATAAATATAACGACAATGGTGTCGATTCTGCCATGATTCTCTAAACCTAAAATTAAATTAGACAACAATGTATCTTTGTCATTCTTTATACAGAATGAAAAGGAGAGAATGATGTTGAATTTAGTTTTAAGTTGAGAGAATCATGCCGATATCGAAACCAGTAACTTAGTAGTAGATTCAACGCTTTCTCAACAGCACTTCCCCACATATTGCCATTAAAATTGACATCTTCGATAAAATATATCTATTACAATTGAAAAATGGGAAAACGGTAATATTTTTGATGTAATTGGTGATATCCATTCAATGGTATTAAGTGACAGTTGATAAGCTCTTATTCAATATACCATCCATTACTCACAATGATATTGCGTACGCCAGTTTATAATTTATAGACTTAATAAATCAAACAAACCTCATACTAACATGATGTTTCAAAGTATTTTTTTATACATCAAACATTCGTAATTTTCATTTAAGATGTTGGATCAGATGTCTCATACATGTTAAATCAATAACAGAAACTTATGATGTACCTAGTTTTAAATTTTAGTATTCATGTAGGCATTATCATTTATAGAATCATACATGGCGACTGATGTTATACACTCCGGTTAACTTCTGGAGCAACGACCATAGATAAGGAAGCAGTAGCAAATTTTACATACAAAAACGTCTCCTGCGCAAGTTTATTTGTCTATGGTTTTGCTTAAGAAATTGGCCGCTACTTATACTCGTATTTGCGTTCATCGATAGACAATAGATGCAAGGGGGGGATGATTGTGTTAACCGATTATTAATAATTTAAAGGGGAGAGCGTTGTGAAGTTGCGCGCTTTTTTTTCTGGGAGTGAATGAGTTGGAGATGGATACGGTAGAGATCATCTATTCTAAAATTAAACGCCCCTCCCCACTCTTATGATTGATCGATGCATTCGTGTCTACCCTGCGACTGATTCAACTGAATGACCAATGACTATAGCTAATATGAGTGTGTCGCATCTGTACACTGGTTGTGCATGTAAAGGTGAAATTAGGCGGTTCATTTTTGCTTAAACTTTCGATGCTTCATTCATGAAAGACCAAAAATGAAACGTCTGCACACATTCATCGGAGCAATTAAATTTTTCCAGCTCCCGATTGTTTGCACTAGCATCGATCATGTATCTATATGCATAATTCATCAGCAATGAACGACAAGTGAAACGTCTAAACAGCGATAGCTCATTTCTTACACTGTCTCAGTATTTATTCTTTAATCAGATAACTCTACACAGATGATATTCACGCGGGAATTCCACAAGGAATAGAATATACGTTCATCAAGTAATGAGTCTATACAAACAACGCATCTTACCGTTCATCATTCAGAAATCATTGCAAAAATGAATCACTTTCGGTGGACCGTCTAATCACGCCTTTAAGGGTGTATTCCGAAATATAAACCAGCACGCTGGCCATCGGTAATGACGTCATAATTTCGACGCCATTTTGCACCGGTGTCGTCGCGACGTCATTACCACTGGCCAGCGTACCGGTGTTTGATTCGGAATACACCCTAAGAGTAAGACAACGGAGGGAGGGGGTTAGTTTTATTGGTTTAGAATAGTCGATATCTACGCGGGTATGGGTATGGGTATAGGTAGGGCGGGTTTGGGTTGAGGTTTGCGTTTAGTTTAGGAGCAGCAGGCGCGGGCCGGGGGCGCGCGGGAGGGGCGGCGCTCGACGGCGATGCGCGCGTGGTCGGCGTCCGCGTCGCGGCCCGCCGTCTTATCCAAGATGGCCTCCGCCAGCTCCGAGAACGCGCGGTCGATGTTGATGTTGGCCTTCGCGGACGTCTCCATGAAGCGGATGCCGTGCTCGCGCGCTATCTGCAACGCGTCCCCGAGCGCCCGCGCCGAACCCGTTAATTCGATTCGATTCCACTTGAATAAAACTAGTTTTTACGAGTTAATGCACGAAACTTTATTTATTTATTGACGTTTCGCAAAAATAATTCTGATGAAGCAGCCTGAAAAGGCTGTGAAACGTCAGAAAATAAATAAAGTTTGGTGCATTAACCTGCAAAAACTAGCTTTATTTAATGAGTGATGTGCGTGAAAACCTAAGAAACAAATATCAATACCCTGTGGGGAAAGCAAAGTAGTAAATAGCAAGTAGTGAGAGTAAACAACGCATCTTTTGTTGAGTGTTCAGTTGAACACTTTATTTCTAATACTTATTATACTTATACATATAATAAGTTATTATTTTATAATTCTTTGTCATTCAAATATTCATTTACTGTGAAAAAAATTTGTTTTACCATATGTTTTTCAGGAGTGTTTTCAATTTTATAAAATTATTTTTGTTTTGAATTTGCTTCAGAAGTTATTATAAATATTTATTGACATTAAATGAGGTCTACATCAGTGATGATTTAATCAAGAAACTGGCAACATTAATTCATTTCTATTTCAGGTGGAGTATTTTATTGGAGCATCCTGACGTTTGGTATATTTTTCTGGATGTTGGCAGACTAACTTGCACAATTCCATTATATAGATACAGGATACAGTAAATTTATTGTACTTTTTGTAGATAAGATGACAACTCTTAGGCTGACTAGTATTCTTAGTAACTTTTTTGTAGCCAGAGGATCACTCCATACTTTAAGATTTTTAGTTGAATTTGAATGTTTTTGTTTTTTTAATTTCTCGGAAAACATATGAATCATCATTCTTATTTTCCTAACATGCTGCTTCCATTTAACATGTTTATCTAAGGTTAATCCAAGAAGGTTCAACACATTGACAATTGCTATCTTGTGTTCTTTATATTGGAAACGACTAAGAAAATCTTTTTTGATGTGGATGGAAGATCAAAAGTTGGGTTTCTTAAAGTGTATCACTAGGTTACCATTACTGCTGGAGTTTACTAACAGATTTTTGATAGCTCAGTAACATATCATCATCATCAAATTTTGTAGTTGGAAAACACACATCTAATAAGGGCACTGCTTAGTTTTCATAGAAACATTGGACAAAACAATACATTACAGAGCTGTCAAAATATCGAACGAACTACTGATTTGATTTAAACCAAGTGACCTTATGTTCTAAAAACCTATTTAAAAAGAATTAACTTTATTGAGATAAAACTTTTTTTCTAGTATTTATTAGGCTACAAGGCAGCACCTACATTATTTGCATTTTTAAACATCTAGCAGTTAAATGCTTAAAAATATATAACTAGAGATGAAAGTGCTCAAAATAAATAGTAGAAGCAAGTAACTGATTGACGTATTTATGACAAAACCTGACACTGTGAACAATTGAAAGTACAGCTACTACGAGGGTAATGGTACTTATACATTTCTATTAAGGCAGTGTCCAAAAAATTTATATTATAAGAAATGACAAATATCTTAAGTACATAAAGGAAGCAGCAATAAAAGTAAGTAAAAAACTTTAATCTTTCAGAGATATGAATATAGCTCAAATAAGAAAGTATGATAAAAAGGTAACACAGTTTAATATACCTAATAAATTTAACTTTATCAAGTAGTTAGTACTTTAGTAGTAGTTTTTTTCCATATTGCTCACAATACAAAAATAGATGTGTACATTTTATTGATCAATTCAATACCTATTAGAAGAAATTTATATGTAAACACTCGTAATAAAAATAACTTCCATTGATAAATAATGGTACTGCAGAAGCATCAATCTTATCTGGAAACCACCCACAGGAATGGAAGTAGCATAACAAAACATTAAATATGAATAGTAGTGATTCCCATTATATCACTGCCTGCTAATCACATGACTAATAATATGTACTTACCGCCTCTCCTCTTTCTTTGCTCACAACTCGTTTCTCCTCCATGTCACATTTATTGCCCAATATCATCTTTTCTACATCTTCATTAGCATGCTGCAATGTGAAAAGAAGTTATTTAGTAGGTACTTATGCTCATCAACACTTTTAAAACAATGATTTGTAAAATGTTATTGAATGTTAGTGAAATAGGTACTATAAAAATATAAGCTTTTAAGTAGTAACAGAACTATTGATAAAATGTATAAACTGAAGAAATGAGAACATGCTATTTCCATTTAACTTAATATTTTTACAAACTATATAAAGAATATTACTCATCATTATGAAGCTAAACTAGATTACCTCATCTATATTTCTCAGCCATTTAACAATATCATCAAATGTTTTTTCATTTGTTATATCATATACAAGCATGATGCCCATCGCACCACGGTAGTAGGAGGTCGTAATAGTGTGGAAGCGCTCTTGACCTGCGGTGTCCCAGATCTGAAGCTTAATTTTCTTACCACGTAGTTCTACTGTCTTTATTTTGAAGTCAATACCTGCAATTAACATCATAGGAGTAACTAATTTTCATACATGTTGGCTTTTGTATTGCTTTTTACTAGTTAAAGTCCAGTTTGGTTACAAGGAAATGGAATTTGAAATGCAATTAAAATCAGCAGACTTCAACCTAATAAAAGCCACCGATCTAATAAATATGCAGAGAAAACACTAATTCTATCGGGTAATATCATAACGATATTGGCGGTGAATGAAAATAAAAATTATTACGAATACAAAGGTGTTCCTTACCAATAGTGGAAATAAATGTCGTTGTAAAATGGTTGTCTGAAAATCTAAACAGTATACAGGTTTTTCCAACTCCAGAGTCACCAATAAGAAGAAGTTTGAACAATAAATCGTAAGTTTTCTTTGCCATTTTTTATTATTTCCTTAAATGCGAAATCGAGTAAATAAAATGTAAGGCAGATTTGTCTTTTCTCAAAGTCAAGTCATCCATCCGATCAAAGTAATTTTGACATAACGAAATGGTGTTGCAATTGCAAGCACATACAACGTGTTGCAAGTATTATTTTAGTTTATGCGACTGCAGGATCGTGAATGGCCCACTTAATGAGAAGAATTCTTTTAAACTTTCCTGAAATCTTGAACGAAAACAAAACATGGGAAGTGTGGGAAATCAAGTTCAAACTACGAATGCGTGCGCCTCTTTTGTACATTCAACCTAATACCATAAACAGTAATTTAATAAATTAAAAAAGTGATTTGCAATATAGCTATTGACGGGATTGTTACCATGTATTATTATACCTTGTTTTTTATGAGTCTCGAATTCGGCACTGATGCAAGCGCCATGATCATGGAGTAATAATCCCGTTAATAGCTATAATGTTAGTGACCATGAAAGTTTGAACTGCAATGATTAAAAAGTTATTTCAAGATACAGCTAGGTATAATGAGTTTTATTTTTGATTTAATGTATGTTTTTACAATAAAAAAATATAAACTTTTTATTGTTATCATTATTATGATTTGTTTAAAAGAGAATGTAAAGGTTGATCATTTCGAATATTTTGACATAAATGAGTGTAGATAAAAAATAAAGGAAAGCTCAGACAGAGCTTTATTAAAAAGCTTTAAAGTTCATAATTTATGAGAATTAAAAAACATAATATGGCGTGTACTGTCTGTGTGTGTAAGAGCTTGCTGTACCTGTTGTACTGTTATTGGTTACAGCACAATGGTATAGAGTAGTCTAAGTAAACACACCTTCATTATATTCATATGAAAGTGACAAAAAGGCTCCGTACTGTACCCCTCCCTCATTTAGTTTTTTCCTTGGACGAAGAATCTCGCTAATGTCTATGATTTTTGTCGAACTATTGTCCATGGACTATGGATTTTGCGGTTAATAAAATTGTGCATATTGAATTAAACTGTGTTGCCATATGTGTTGTTATTCCGAAATATTAAAGCAAAATCCTAAGACTAAGGATAAACGCCTTCCACGCAAATGTACAGATAGATAATTTTGTTAGTTTTAAATAACTTGTATTTTCCGTCTTTATATTTTTGATATTACCATGTACTTTTTACCTTAAAATAAGCAGCAACCTACCTCTATCTTCCATTTCTTACAATAAATAATATAGTTTTTGATGTCAAATGATTTTTCATGTTTGTATTGAACGTGTTTTGTTTATTTGTACATAGTTTAGGATAAGGCTTCTAATTAAAACAAAACAAAACGAAACAGGATATTACATAAATAACATTTTTTTTGCAATTAAAGGCTTTAAAGATCGGGTAATTTATATAAACAATTGATTGAAAGGTATGATCAGGGAAGATCCAAATACTTAAATAAATGTTTAAAAAAAGGAATGGTATTCTTTATTAACTGACAATAAATAATAATGATATTTATATATTGACATCGTTGTCCTACATCCACTTTTAAAGACTATATAATTATTATAAAGTATTGGTGTCGGTTCTAGTATGATTCTTTAAACTTAAAACTTAATTTAACATCGAGGGCATGACAAGGATATACTGTATTCAAGTAGAATTTTAGGTCAAGAGAATTATGCCAGAATCGATACCATGTCTTACTTTATTGCTTATGTTCCACTAGATACAGTTTGTCTATAAAGTCGTGACATGAACATGAATAATTGAGGAACTAAAATTATTCATGTGTCTGGCAACACCAAACTTATGTACATCAGCTGTCATCGAGTTCGAGTTGTGGAACAGTTTTCCTTTTGTATTTTTTATTGTTTGTATTAAACTGTAATAAATTAAGAGGAAACTACGCAGAAAGGTATAAAAATGAGTAAAATAAATCGGAGTGGCACGAATTTACAAATTGTTTCTTTAAATAAACTTTTTGTATACTATAAAATGATTTTTAGTATTATTTTCTTAACAAGTGTGTTAAAAAACGTCGTATGATGATACTTGTGTGTATTGATGATTACCTAACGGCTCTGGTCTCAATGGCACCTCAGCGGTAATCACCAACATTACACACTTTTAGTAAAGTATAAAATACTATTTTATCTATAATAATTTTATTCTGATTCAATTAAATATGCTTGGCTAAACTTTTTATAAGCATAGGTACCTACTATATATAAAACAGAAACAAAATACGACTGTATAGTGTGTCTTATTAATTACCTACCAAAATCATTTTGGTCTGACTGTATAGAACAGAAATGTCAAGGTTGAGAAGGCACGGTGATTCATGGTACGCTTATATAGTAATTTGTTTCTTTGTACGGTATGGTAGCGGTCTTTGTAAAGGTATTTATTGAGTATAAGTTATATATATTATATATATATATATATATATATGTATTGTCAAGTGTGACGCTCGTGACGTGACTTTCATTCTCCTCGGCTAGAGCTGTGAAAGTATCCCACACACACAGTGGCGGCGCTAGGCGTCGGCGACGTCGGCCACTGCCGACGGCCTCGCAAAAAATTTTTACTAGTTACCTATTTATTTTCGTTTCTCCTGGCCTGGCTTAGCTAGCCGACCCCGAACAATGCGGGGAAAAAGCTAAGCAGATGATAATGACTTTTATTATTTTCGAACACGTGCGTGATGGAAGCGAGTAGTACTTTACGGGTATTCAGAATCATTTGTCTGGCAACACTATTTTTGTAATTAAATTTCTATGTTTGTAAATATTTTTTGTCATCATTTAATTATCAACAATAAAACTTGTTTACTCATACGTTATTTTATAATTTGGCTCACTTAATTTAACGGTTTTTTACTGCGAAGTAAAATAGGCCTCGCGAATTTGATGTCGCCGACGCGACGTCCACATGTGGTCTAGCCCCGCCACTGCACACACACACGCAAATAATTGTATATAGTCGCGACGCATTTCAATTTTATCTTTAATTTACACCCCGTCCGAAAAGAAGTTTAACTTCAAAATGAATTTAGTTTTGACGTGACAACGTCTTAAATTAGGTTGCGGCTGGGAGTCACTTATGAAAAAGTGTAACGCTCGGTAACGTTACGATGAGTCTCTCGTGTTAAGTTTAAGTTTACATGTACAATGTTTTAGTAAACAAAATATATTTCTATAGTTAAAATTTGTGCAATTCTTATTTTCATTCAATTCCTTGTTCCTATTGTGCAATTTAATTATATTCATATCAATAAATATTCTACCGAGAAAAAGACGTTGTCACGTAAAATCTTCGCCCGTAAAACCGACTTTACAGGCAACCATTTTTTTTTAGCCTTTTAACATTATGATAAATATAAAGTTAAGTATTTTGACCCAAACATCGTAAATTTGGAGGATCACTTAAGAAGTAGATATTTTTTACAGTGAAACTTTTATTAAGTACCTAATAATCACCACAATTTTTGTCGTTATTATTCCAAGTTTTAATTAACTTGCACTGTTTGTATGTAGCAAAAAGTTTTTTTTTTTATTATTAATAAACGGATTATTAGCATTGAGTTTGGCATCACTAGTCCATAGACAATAAAGTTTGCATATTGGTAATGTTGGCATTTTCCCTTAGCATAGCATAGCATAGTAGCATAATTCTGACAATTCTGTTTACAAATGGCGGATCGATGTGCTTGCCTACGTTGTGTAGCCGAAGTGTAATCGATAAAAGCAAAAATCAATAATTATAAGGCGAGGCCTATCTGACGGTGTTGCTTATGAACTCTTCTTCAAGAACTCAAGTGTATTTTTAATATGTAAAACTTAGCACGAATCGCGAATAGAATAAAAATGCATCGTCGCGGCGGGAAACGCATCCGAATGGATGATCCACCTCCCGAATATGTAAATCCTACAACTCCGGCTACTCCAGCGACAGATTATGGAGGGAGGTCTACGCACGAGCCAGACTTGAATCGGCCTGGGTTTGACGATGGGGTAGGTATCGAGTCCGTTCGAGAAGCTGAGGACTCTCATCATGAAGAAGAAGAGGCGCGTTCACCGTCGCCGGCTCCTACCAAGCGTGTGACGCGGAGTCGCGGGCGTGGCGCGGACGGGGGCTATGTGGGGTGCTTGGCGGAATCACCGCCACCTCCGCCCGTACGCCGGAAGCCGAGAGGTGGTGGAGGCCGAGGGAGAGGCCGAGCAAGGGGGGCCCCAACCCTCCCTCCGGCGTATTCACCACCACCAGTTCTACTGCCTGGGGATGATGAAAACAGTCTGTATAATATCCTCAGGTTCAACAAAACTGCAATCAATGTAAGTTTCACAGTGTGAACATTTTTATCAACTATTCATGTATACCTGCTTTAGTAATTTGTGACATAACATTTTGGATATCTTATAGCAAGTGGTGGACATGTGGATTGAAGAGTACAAGACCAATCGTGAAAGTGCACTGGTACAACTGATGCAGTTTTTCATCAATTCATCTGGTTGTCGTGGCAAGGTTACTCCTGACATGGCTTCTATGGACCATACCCTTATTATCAAAAAAATGACACAGGAATTTGATGAGGTTAGTTATTTGTTATTTAACAAATCTTTGCATAATTGAACTCTTCTTTAGTTTTGATAACTTTAAAGTCTTAATACTATGTTGATTTGTTGTTATAGGAAAGTGGGGAATATCCTTTAATAATGACAGGGCAGACTTGGAAAAAGTTCCGGTCAAACTTCTGTGAGTTTATCCAAACATTGGTGAAAATGTGCCAGTATTCCATCATCTATGATCAGTACTTGATGGACAACATCATTTCCCTGCTTACGGGGCTCTCTGACTCACAAGTGAGAGCTTTCAGGCACACTGCCACTTTAGCTGGTAAGTTAAATACTTGTCTTATATTATTGTATATAGAGATAAATCACATAACATGAATTTTAGTAACAGACCTCCTCCTCCTTGTGTCGTGCTCCTCATTGCTGAGGGTTGTGACCTCCACGAATTATTTTGTGGACGATCGCTTTCCACTTATTGCAGTCTTCCGCAGTGTGGAGTGCATCGCGTACTCCAGTTTTGATATGGTCGCGGATCTGGTCTGTCCAGCGCAAGGGGCTTCTTCCTCTCGGTCGCCTTTCCTGTACTTTTCCTGTCAGCAGGAGCACTTCCAGGGTGTCGTTTTTCTTCCTTGCTATGTGACCAAAGAATTCGAGGATCCTACGCAAGCAGAAATTGGACAGCCTAACGGTGACTCCTACTTCTTTAAGAATTGACGCATTTCTGCAGTGGGCTGTCCATGGAACTCGTAACATTCTCCTCCGACACCACATCTCAAATGCGTCAATACGAGATCTGTCTATAGATCTGAGATCTGTCTATATAGTAACAGACAATAAGTTGTTATTTCTTAAGTTTATATCAAGTGCTTAGCATTTATGACTTGATATTATCACATTTTTTGCGATAAAAAAAATGCAACAACACATATCTTGATGAAGTTTATTTCAATTGACTGACATGTCAGCCATTATATTACACAAAATTTTGATTGATTCATTCTGTAATGGTTTTGTGTTCTCTATTACTTAATTTGTTTGATTTGTCTCTTTTGTTGATATAATGCTGTAAAGTTTTTGATGTTCACATTTTCTGATAAAACAGTAGTTATTTTACAAACTGACAGTATTTCGCCGCATGATGTCAAAATCATTTCAGTTCAGGTAGGCAATTTAGTATTTTGTGTGTTACTCGCGCAGTGTTGTAAGGAAAAACAAGATAGCGCGAATTTGCAGGAGGGCTCGATCTGCGGGCGGTGGGATGCATTGATTATGTGGACCGGAATAATAATATATTTTTTTTAAATATCTAATTTTTTTTGAAGTGAAACTTCATTTCGGACTGTATGTAAATGGAAAAAAACCGACCAAGTGCGAGTCGGACTTGCGCACCGAGGGTTCCGTACAAACCTTTAGGTATATTTTAATAATGTTAAAAAAATATTTTTTAATATATGATGTAACTAAAAATTTACGGTCTTCGCAATTTTTCCTTTATCTGTATTATAACATTCTAAGTTCACGGGAAGTACCCAGTAGGTTTGATTCCCATGCGAGTTTCGAAAATTTTCGAAATTTTCGGCTGTATCGTTTGATTGCTTTGGCTTAGAAGTTTGATTTTTTCACAGCTCCAAGGGACAGTAGACCTGAGTATTAGATATGAATTTCAGTTTGATACTCCACTCGTTCCTGAGAAAAACGGTCTTGACAGACGGATGGACAAATGATATGATTGATGCGTGCACTGCTCAATTCCCCTATGCCTTATGCACTGCCTAATGTTAGGTTACCTAAGAAAAGAAGTTTCACTATCGATGCGTGGTGTTTTAGGAAAGATGCCTGTCTAGGATAGACAAATCAGGCTCTTTGTCCTAGACAGGCATCCTCCTTGAAATAGATGTTCACCTGCTATAGGACTGTTACAAATCATTTTATTTACCCCACCACATCTTAATATGCTATTAAAAAAATATAAGTAGCAGATAATGTAAATTGATACCATAGCAAATAAGGTAAATAGAAATTGCAATGTTTTTTGCAGGGTTCACGTTTCCTGCTTGTTTTATGTTTTACATTAACTTTGTAACATCAAGATTGCAATAAACATTAGTACTTGAACATACAGTGTTGAAAAAAAAAAGCCTTTATTAAAGCTGCCAGTTACTAATCCGTAACATTTACATAACTTTTCAGTACAGAATATCTAGATGTTTGTATCATTGCTGTTTTAATCTTCTCCACTGAGATCTGTTTTGGGCTATTCTTCTCCTGTGAACTCCCACTGTCTGTTCTGTTCCCTGCACCCCCTGCTGCTCTTCCCATCTCTGGGGTAGCAGTTGGTAACAACTTTACTCCATTTTTGTTATTCCTAACATAATAAAGACTATTTATTTTATGATTATATAGTGATGAAGTTAATGACGGCTCTGGTGGATGTGGCGCTGCTGACGAGCGTGAACTGCGACAACTGCCTGCGCCAGTACGAGGCGGAGCGGCTCAAGGCGCGGGACAAACGCGCCTCTGACCGCCTCGAGGTGCTCGTGGCCAAGCGCCAGGAGCTCGAGGAGAACATGGAGGAGATCAAGAACATGCTCTCCTACATGTTCAAGTCCGTCTTCGTGCACAGATACAGGTACTCAACACAACTAAGCCACTAATTATCTCTACTGTCATGAATTGGTACTGTGTGTTTGATTTTATGAAAATGTGGTTTTAGTTCAAGTAGAATCATTTATGTACTTATTACAATAATATACAAGACAATAGATGATCTAATGTCAGTTAGTTGCTAACATTACTTTTTTTAAGCAAATGCTTTACATTAGTGAAGGGCACACTGTTATTTTATAAATGATCCAATTGGGTGCTTGTTAAAAAACTATTACAAATGTCACAAATACTTTAAACCAAGTTTCAGAGTCTGTTTATATTATATATTAAGTACTCTTTTTTTTATTCATTGAACATTGTTACAGAGACACACTGCCAGACATTCGGGCCATCACGATGGCTGAGATAGGCATCTGGATGGAGAAGTTCCCTGCGCACTTCCTCGATGATCTCTATCTTAAGTACATCGGTTGGACCCTACATGACAAGGTGAAGTTATGTTTTTATTGTATTTAAAATTTCCCTTGTTCATATTGTAGACTGTTTGTAGAAAGGGGAAACACAAAAACAAAATCCCTACTCTGTAATCCCTACCTTTTCATTACAATGACAAATAGATTAATATATTGTTTTTAACTTTCATGGTCTCTAACATTATAGCTATTAACGGGATTGTTACAATGTTACCTTGTTTTTTATGAGTCCCGATATTTCGGCACTGTTGCAAGCGCCATGATTGTTTTAATCTTTATTAAAATCTTTAAATAAATTAATGATAACTTTTATAGTGTAGTGTAGGCAGCCTGTCAGGCACTCGGTCTTCCCCAGCCTTTACAATTTCTGATTTTCATGTCTTAGAAGATAATATATGCTTTTTCTTTGTTATGTTTTCCCAATAAACTTCCCAAATTCAGCATGAGCGTATCTTCCCGCCTATTAACTTGACATCTGTTTTCTGACCTTTTTCTTTTTGCGTGTCTAGGGTACACAAAAGGTTTTCATTAAAATGAGCTCTATATTTTAGGTTGGTGAGGTCCGTCTCCGCTGCCTGCAAGCGTTGCAGCCGTTGTATGAGTGCGAGGAGTTGAAGGGCAAGCTGGAGCTATTCACGTCCAAGTTCAAGGACCGCATCGTTGCCATGTCCCTGGACAAGGAGACCGAGGTCGCTGTGCATGCAGTACGACTGGTCATAGCCATCCTTAAGTGAGTTGCTTTCTATTTTGATAAGTTTTAAATGATTTTTTATAGTTTTACGTCCTATGTATAATATTAAGGTCTTTCAAAGTTTACAGAATTTTAATTGCTTGATGGGAAAAAGACAAAACAAGGGATAATACAAAATAAATAATTTTGTTTTTTATTTTAGTCCAGTTAAGTTGATTGATTATAAAAACAACACCTCTCTTTTCCGTTGTGGGTTAAAAAGTTAATAAGAATCTGCATTATACTAATAAAAAAAAAGCTTAAAAAGCTTTTTATTCCATATCTATTAGTTACTTTTACATTTTATTTATGTTAGTTTGTTAGTAAACCTAAATATTATGTTGGTTTTTAGTATTTGTTAGTATAGTTTCAGACATGGATCCCATCTGGGTAAAAGCCTCCTCCATTGCTTTCCACTTTACTCTATATTTCCCCGCTTTTAGCCAGTCCTTGCCTGCCACAGACACAATATCGTCGGACCATCGTTTTCTGGGTCTGCCTACTTTCCTTTTGCCTTTTGGTCCGGCCCATCCAGTGGACTTGAGGGTTCACCTTCTTTCAGTTTACCTTGACAGATGACCCACCCATTTCCATTTAAATTTAAGGGCCTGTTCCAGAGCATCTGTTAGTCCAGTTTTGCTCCTTATGTCTGTACACCTTTTTTTGTCTATTCTTTTTAATTTTAGCATACTTCTTTCTATTGCTCTCTGGCATGTAGTAATTTTGTTTTTTATTTTATTTGTATAAACCCAAGTTTGACATCCGTACAGTAGGCTTGGTAATAGGTATGTGTCTACTACTGTCTTCATATAGGGTCAACATATAGGCTACATAATTTCATAGGAGTTGTTATCGGAATCAACGTCTTCATCGACGTCCGAATTATCTTCGCTATCATTTTCTGAAACATGAATAAGTTTTTGTCAAAATCAAAGTCCTATGACGTCATCAATTTCTTCGCCTGATTCCTCATCCTGTTCCGTTATGTCACTGACTTTTTGGTGGCATTCCTCGCCGTGGAACCAGTCGAAATCGTACCGACCGTCATTGAAAATCCATCCATAGCTTATTGGTAACAAGGTCGACTGTATTTGTTTGTACTTCTCTTCATATGTTGTTTTAACTCCCAGAAACAAGAGGGAAACGAAGTTGCTTCCAATTTCATAGTTGTCTTTTTGAAAGCTTCATTACAGCTTTTCGGTGTATAAATCCTATCGTATATGATACACCTTGCTTCGTTAACTGTTTTTCTTGCTTTTACGTTACAACGTACACGCAAACAAATTCTTGCAGAACATTGAAAGTTTGTTCCATGAGTAGTGGATCTGCAACAAACGTATTATTTCAATAAATGCGTCTTGGAACTTCCCAGGTTTCTCCAATTCTAATGGTCTGTTTTTACCCGTCCTATAAAATGCGGTATTGAAGTCGCATACCGTAAAAGCATGGAATGCAGCCAACGAAGAACAAAGCTTTTCGCCCAAGTCTCTGTATACAGCACAAACGTCAATGTTTTTCACGTAATTACCGGTTCCGAGTTCCATCTATATTTTGCGATCGATCTTGAACTGATTCTCTCCCACATTACTAGGATTTGTTTCATATTAGCTAATAATATGACGAGAATATCTGTATCGGATCACTTGATCAAAATGTTCGTACTTGACCCAATAGCGCAAACATGTTAAACTATTTTTGTATCAGGTTCTTCATGAGCACTGCAGGTATAGAGAGTTTTCAGATACTTCTCTAACGACAGATTCTCCCGATTTTCTGTAAGAATGATACAGCTGATAATTTAGAAACACTTTATGTGTAGGCTTAATCAATGTAGCTTAGTCTCGAGTCGACCAATCATTGACGAGAAACTGGACAAATGCTTGCTCGAATTTTATGTTCTTTAATTCGGCTAGTCATCATTTCTTAAATTATTTCATCTTTCTCCATCAATAAAACGAAGGCGTTATAATTGTCTGAATAAATTGAGCAAGAAGGAATATTGGAAAACGAGCATATTTTCGATAATTTCTTCCTGAACAAACGTCAACAGATTCTTACGAGCTTGCTCGTGTTTTGTCTCCTTAATCATTTACTTTCACAAATATTGTGTTTTCGGTAAGGGCGGATTTGGGGGGGGGGGGGGGGCTATGGGGGTCATGACCCCCCCCCCCCCCCCTGGGTTGAGTACATCTGTACCCACTTCACAATCTGTGCCCACTGTGACTTGACCAGGACTATATGACTTCCCCCGGCGCCAAAGCTGGATCCGCCCTTGGTGACTGAAGTATGTTTGTTTCCCCTCGCAGAATGCACCCGGACGTGCTGACGGACAAGGATTGCGAGAACGTGTACGAGCTAGTGTATTCGTCGTGGCGCGGGGTCGCGGCCGCGGCGGGGGAGTTCCTCAACGTGAGGCTGTTCCGAGCCGAGCCCGCGCCCGCCCAGCCCGGCCCCGCGCCCGCCCCCGCGTCGCCCGCCCTCGCCGCCCTCTCCGCGCCGCCGCCCGCCCGCTCGCGACGCGGCAAGGCGCGCCTGCCCAACACGCCGCTCGTGCGGGACCTGGTGCAGTTCTTCATCGAGTCCGAGGTGAGATGGTGTCCCCGCCCCCGCGACAGTACTATCCGTATGGAACTCAATGAAATAATAATCTCACTACGAAATTAAGTAAACGCATTAAACGCGAAGTGAAGTACTTGACGGTTATAAAAATCCTCTCGTGTCGGCGGCCACGGAGGTCGTTAATAATGCTCGTCATAAATAAATGGAATAGGGAAACGGAGCCATGACCCACCACCGGAGCCCAGTGTGGATTGGTGGGAACTAACGACTGCAGATGCAGCCGGAACCGACAGCTTAACGGAACCAACAGCTTGAAGGCATCAAATGCACGGAGGAATTCGAGATAATACGTTTTTGCTCACCCATCCAATGACAATACCAGACTTAATAGGGACAAACTCAGCATAAATATAGGAACCCTAACTGGTCATTGTCCCCCAAACAAACACTTATATACAACAGGAGTAACAGATAGTCCCCTATGCAGTGGATGTATGGAAGCAAAAGAAACGCCACAGCATGTCATCATGGAATGCAAGAGTGTGGCCGACCAACAGCCACGACTTTCCAGTCGCCAGCATCGCTTCCGGAAGCTTGCAGCAATCTGTCAAGTCGGCTTTCCTTCTAGACTAACCTAGGCTGGCTGGCGTAAACGGGAATGTTTCAAGACACGCACAATGGGCCAATGATTAAGACTAAGTGCGGAAACCGCCTTGAAAAACTAAAAAAAACCTATCCAATGATCGACCATTGCGAAAGTTGCTTAACTGCCACGAGCGCAAACTGAACTCGCTTACCACCTGCGCCATCGAGCTGCTCTCTAGTCTAATGTTAGTTACTCTGATAATGAAATATTAGTTTAATTGTTGTGGTTTGTCATGGTAGTTACACGAGCACGGCGCATACCTGGTGGACTCGCTGATCGAGTCCAACCCCATGATGAAGGACTGGGAGTGCATGACCGACCTGCTGCTGGAGGAGGCGGGGCCCGGCGAGGAGGCGCTCGACAACAGACAGGTATACTGGAACACTACCCCCTTACCCTAACAGTATCAAGAGTGACTGCAAAAGTGTCAAGAGAGATAGGGCATTGTAGATATTATGTTTGTAAAAAAATATGTTCTTAAACATGCTTTTTGAACTTGTCAATTAAGTAGATTCTGAGCAAATCGACTTTGACAGACAGACAGTCAATTAAAAGATCCGATCAGCCCTAAATATATGCATGCTACAGAAAGCAAACTTGTTTTATTTAATGACTGGTGTGCGTGAAATTCTAAGAAACAAAAATGTTACGCTTGCAGGAGTCGTCCCTCATCGAGCTGATGGTGTGCTGCGTGCGGCAGGCCAGCACGGGGGAGCCGCCCGTGGGCCGCGGCCCGGCGCGCAAGCATCACCACATGCTGACCAAGGAGCAGGCCAAGGTGCGTACGTGGGGCCCGCACTATACTGCTGTATCATTGATCATCACCACCCTATAATGTGGGGCTGGGGCTGGGGCTGGGGCACACGCCTGAACCTATCCAGCACGGGGGAGCCGCCCGTGGGCCGCGGCCCGGCGCGCAAGCATCACCACATGCTGACCAAGGAGCAGGCCAAGGTGCGTACGTGGGGCCCGCACTATACTGCTGTATCATTGATCATCACCACCCTATAATGTGGGGCTGGGGCTGGGGCTGGGGCACACGCCTGAACCTATCCAGCACGGGGGAGCCGCCCGTGGGCCGCGGCCCGGCGCGCAAGCATCACCACATGCTGACCAAGGAGCAGGCCAAGGTGCGTACGTGGGGCCCGCACTATACTGCTGTATCATTGATCATCACCACCCTATAATGTGGGGCTGGGGCTGGGGCTGGGGCACACGCCTGAACCTATCCAGCACGGGGGAGCCGCCCGTGGGCCGCGGCCCGGCGCGCAAGCATCACCACATGCTGACCAAGGAGCAGGCCAAGGTGCGTACGTGGGGCCCGCACTATACTGCTGTATCATTGATCATCACCACCCTATAATGTGGGGCTGGGGCTGGGGCTGGGGCACACGCCTGAACCTATCCAGCACGGGGGAGCCGCCCGTGGGCCGCGGCCCGGCGCGCAAGCATCACCACATGCTGACCAAGGAGCAGGCCAAGGTGCGTACGTGGGGCCCGCACTATACTGCTGTATCATTGATCATCACCACCCTATAATGTGGGGCTGGGGCTGGGGCTGGGGCACACGCCTGAACCTATCCAGCACGGGGGAGCCGCCCGTGGGCCGCGGCCCGGCGCGCAAGCATCACCACATGCTGACCAAGGAGCAGGCCAAGGTGCGTACGTGGGGCCCGCACTATACTGCTGTATCATTGATCATCACCACCCTATAATGTGGGGCTGGGGCTGGGGCTGGGGCACACGCCTGAACCTATCCAGCACGGGGGAGCCGCCCGTGGGCCGCGGCCCGGCGCGCAAGCATCACCACATGCTGACCAAGGAGCAGGCCAAGGTGCGTACGTGGGGCCCGCACTATACTGCTGTATCATTGATCATCACCACCCTATAATGTGGGGCTGGGGCTGGGGCTGGGGCACACGCCTGAACCTATCCAGCACGGGGGAGCCGCCCGTGGGCCGCGGCCCGGCGCGCAAGCATCACCACATGCTGACCAAGGAGCAGGCCAAGGTGCGTACGTGGGGCCCGCACTATACTGCTGTATCATTGATCATCACCACCCTATAATGTGGGGCTGGGGCTGGGGCTGGGGCACACGCCTGAACCTATCCAGCACGGGGGAGCCGCCCGTGGGCCGCGGCCCGGCGCGCAAGCATCACCACATGCTGACCAAGGAGCAGGCCAAGGTGCGTACGTGGGGCCCGCACTATACTGCTGTATCATTGATCATCACCACCCTATAATGTGGGGCTGGGGCTGGGGCTGGGGCACACGCCTGAACCTATCCAGCACGGGGGAGCCGCCCGTGGGCCGCGGCCCGGCGCGCAAGCATCACCACATGCTGACCAAGGAGCAGGCCAAGGTGCGTACATGGGGCCCGCACTATACTGCTGTATCATTGATCATCACCACCCTATAATGTGGGGCTGGGGCTGGGGCTGGGGCACACGCCTGAACCTATCCAGCACGGGGGAGCCGCCCGTGGGCCGCGGCCCGGCGCGCAAGCATCACCACATGCTGACCAAGGAGCAGGCCAAGGTGCGTACGTGGGGCCCGCACTATACTGCTGTATCATTGATCATCACCACCCTATAATGTGGGGCTGGGGCTGGGGCTGGGGCACACGCCTGAACCTATCCAGCACGGGGGAGCCGCCCGTGGGCCGCGGCCCGGCGCGCAAGCATCACCACATGCTGACCAAGGAGCAGGCCAAGGTGCGTACGTGGGGCCCGCACTATACTGCTGTATCATTGATCATCACCACCCTATAATGTGGGGCTGGGGCTGGGGCTGGGGCACACGCCTGAACCTATCCAGCACGGGGGAGCCGCCCGTGGGCCGCGGCCCGGCGCGCAAGCATCACCACATGCTGACCAAGGAGCAGGCCAAGGTGCGTACGTGGGGCCCGCACTATACTGCTGTATCATTGATCATCACCACCCTATAATGTGGGGCTGGGGCTGGGGCTGGGGCACACGCCTGAACCTATCCAGCACGGGGGAGCCGCCCGTGGGCCGCGGCCCGGCGCGCAAGCATCACCACATGCTGACCAAGGAGCAGGCCAAGGTGCGTACGTGGGGCCCGCACTATACTGCTGTATCATTGATCATCACCACCCTATAATGTGGGGCTGGGGCTGGGGCTGGGGCACACGCCTGAACCTATCCAGCACGGGGGAGCCGCCCGTGGGCCGCGGCCCGGCGCGCAAGCATCACCACATGCTGACCAAGGAGCAGGCCAAGGTGCGTACGTGGGGCCCGCACTATACTGCTGTATCATTGATCATCACCACCCTATAATGTGGGGCTGGGGCTGGGGCTGGGGCACACGCCTGAACCTATCCAGCACGGGGGAGCCGCCCGTGGGCCGCGGCCCGGCGCGCAAGCATCACCACATGCTGACCAAGGAGCAGGCCAAGGTGCGTACGTGGGGCCCGCACTATACTGCTGTATCATTGATCATCACCACCCTATAATGTGGGGCTGGGGCTGGGGCTGGGGCACACGCCTGAACCTATCCAGCACGGGGGAGCCGCCCGTGGGCCGCGGCCCGGCGCGCAAGCATCACCACATGCTGACCAAGGAGCAGGCCAAGGTGCGTACGTGGGGCCCGCACTATACTGCTGTATCATTGATCATCACCACCCTATAATGTGGGGCTGGGGCTGGGGCTGGGACACACGCCTGAACCTATCCAGCACGGGGGAGCCCCCCGTGGGCCGCGGCCCGGCGCGCAAGCATCACCACATGCTGACCAAGGAGCAGGCCAAGGTGCGTACGTGGGGCCCGCACTATACTGCTGTATCATTGATCATCACCACCCTATAATGTGGGGCTGGGGCTGGGGCTGGGGCACACGCCTGAACCTATCCAGCACGGGGGAGCCGCCCGTGGGCCGCGGCCCGGCGCGCAAGCATCACCACATGCTGACCAAGGAGCAGGCCAAGGTGCGTACGTGGGGCCCGCACTATACTGCTGTATCATTGATCATCACCACCCTATAATGTGGGGCTGGGGCTGGGGCTGGGGCACACGCCTGAACCTATCCAGCACGGGGGAGCCGCCCGTGGGCCGCGGCCCGGCGCGCAAGCATCACCACATGCTGACCAAGGAGCAGGCCAAGGTGCGTACGTGGGGCCCGCACTATACTGCTGTATCATTGATCATCACCACCCTATAATGTGGGGCTGGGGCTGGGGCTGGGGCACACGCCTGAACCTATCCAGCACGGGGGAGCCGCCCGTGGGCCGCGGCCCGGCGCGCAAGCATCACCACATGCTGACCAAGGAGCAGGCCAAGGTGCGTACGTGGGGCCCGCACTATACTGCTGTATCATTGATCATCACCACCCTATAATGTGGGGCTGGGGCTGGGGCTGGGGCACACGCCTGAACCTATCCAGCACGGGGGAGCCGCCCGTGGGCCGCGGCCCGGCGCGCAAGCATCACCACATGCTGACCAAGGAGCAGGCCAAGGTGCGTACGTGGGGCCCGCACTATACTGCTGTATCATTGATCATCACCACCCTATAATGTGGGGCTGGGGCTGGGGCTGGGGCACACGCCTGAACCTATCCAGCACGGGGGAGCCCCCCGTGGGCCGCGGCCCGGCGCGCAAGCATCACCACATGCTGACCAAGGAGCAGGCCAAGGTGCGTACGTGGGGCCCGCACTATACTGCTGTATCATTGATCATCACCACCCTATAATGTGGGGCTGGGGCTGGGGCTGGGGCACACGCCTGAACCTATCCAGCACGGGGGAGCCGCCCGTGGGCCGCGGCCCGGCGCGCAAGCATCACCACATGCTGACCAAGGAGCAGGCCAAGGCTTTCTACAGCTTTCGAAAATTTCTTTACTGATATTCCAGTTTCAACTACTAAATCTTTGAACTCTTCCCCCATTGCTGCCGAATCAATCTTAAGAGAAAACGTGAAACCTTGTACTAGTCATTTTCATTTTAAACATGTTGACTTCAAAGATGTAATTAAAACGTTTCACCAATTAAATAAAAAGAAAACCACGGATCTGTGGGGCAATTCCGTTGATGTTTCTAAATCGGTAATTGAGACAATAGCTCCTATTCTAGCTTGCATATTTAATGATTGTGTTGACTGTGGTGTTTTTCCTGACCTCATGAAATACAGTAAAATAACTCCTTTGCATAAAACGGGAAGTACATCAGACCTCACAAACTTTAGACCAATTTCTGTGCTACCCACCTTTAGTAAAATTTTCGAAAAAATCATGTTAGATCAAATGCAATCACATTTTAATAAATATAATATACTTCACTGTAAACAATTTGGTTTTACACGGGGTCGTTCAACAACCGATGCCGGTGTTGAACTTATACAACTAATTTTTGACGCCTGGGAGAACTCGCAGGACGCTCTAGGTGTGTTTTGCGACTTGTCCAAGGCTTTTGATTGCGTTTTTCATGAAACATTGCTCAGGAAACTCCACCACTATGGATTTAGAGATACTGATCTGGATCTTATTGCGTCATACCTGATGGATAGGATTCAGAGGGTTGACATTAACGGCAATAAGTCTGCGGGTTCGCCGGTTAAAATGGGTGTTCCGCAGGGCTCAATCCTTGGTCCTTTCTTATTTTTAATTTATATTAATGACTTACCTTACTACGTTAGAGATAAGCATGAGATAGTATTGTTCGCGGATGATACATCACTTTTATTTAAACTCAAACGTAAGGAAACAGTTATTGACGACGTGAACAGTTGTATCTCTAAGGTAGTCCACTGGTTTATTGTTAATAATTTATTACTAAATGAAGGAAAAACGAAATGTATTAAATTTGTATTACCTAATGTAAAACAGGTAAAAACCAGTGTGAATGTAAAGGATAGGAATATGGGCCTTGTAGACACCACAGTATTCTTAGGGATTACTTTAGATTCTAAGCTTCAATGGGGCCCACATATTGATAAATTGTCAAATAGACTTAGTTCTGCAGCATATTCCGTAATGAAGATACGCCAGTTAACGGATGTAGATACGGCCAGATTAGTATACTTTAGTTATTTCCATAGTGTAATGTCGTACGGAATTTTATTGTGGGGAAACGCCGCCGACATTCAAACTATTTTTGTGCTGCAGAAGAGAGCTATTCGATCAATTTATAATCTTAAAGTTAAGGATTCCTTAAGAGATAGGTTTAAAGAATTTGGTATAATGACGGTCGCATCACAATACATTTACGAAAATTTATTACTTGTAAGAAAAAATATTAATTTGTTTCTTAAAAACAGTGATGTTCACACACTTAATACAAGAAACAAAAATAAACTAACTTTACCTGCTACTAGGCTTCACAAAATCAATAATTCATTTAAAGGTCTTTGTGTTCGCTTATACAATAAAGTCCCAAGCAATATCCAAGAGTTAAGCATAAATAAATTCAAAGATAGTATAAAAAAAGCACTTATTAAAAAAAGCTTATTACAAAGTGTCTGATTATATTACAGACAAAAATGCTTGGGTTTGAACTGTTCCAATCATTCCAACAGGTTTTCTATATTAAATAAATCATGATTGTATTGACGTTGTAACAACATAATGATTTGTAAATGTTGTTACATTATGCTTTTAATGTTGTGGAGTTTTTTTCGCTCGTTTTTCTCCGCAGCTAAAAAATATGTCCAATAACGAGTGGTAGGGAAAAAAATGTTTGGACGATTCAAAAGTGTTGTACTATACATCCAATTTGAATAAAGATATATTGATTTCTGATTTCTGAATAATCACGCAGCTTTTAACAGAATAGGCTATTTGACAGTATGAAAAACAATGCACCACTTGTTGGCATCTGTGTTTAATATGAATATTAGCAGCGATTTTACTATTCTGGAAGAACATATAATTAACTTCAATAACTTAACATATAATTTCCTTTTTCTATAAAGTCATTAAATATAAATTATTTCTTTGCTCCATGGTCACATGACCGACGCGGCGCCTGGGATTGGGCAAGATAAAAATGACGTCACACACTTGTAAACTGCCGACCAAAAAGTGACATTACGAAATGTTTGTGTTAAAATTAAGAACATCCACTTTTTATTTACTCCATAAAAATTAGTAAATAACTTGTGGTTTAAGAAATTGACTTGAATTGAGTGGTTTAAGAACTTGAGATCTGTTTCTAAAATTTGTCAAATACATGTTTTGTCAAAATAAACAGCGTTTAGGCAAGTTATTTTCAATGTTTTTGTTAATTTTAGGTGGTTAGCGATGACCGCGCCCGTATGACGGCCCACTTTATCGGCACCTTGCCCGCGCTGCTCGACAAGTTTGGTGCCGATCCAGAGAAGCTGACCAACCTGGTCTCCATCCCCCAGTACTTCGACCTGGACACCTACACCACTCAGCGCCAGGAGGGGGTGAGTTATCGTCAGCCTATTAATCTTGCCACTGCGGGAGCACAGACCTTCCTTATATACGGAATAGGAGATTGGCCCATGACCTACCACGCGGGCCCAGTGCGGATTGGTGGGTGCTAACGGCTGCAATTGCAGCCGTGACCGACTGCTTAACGTGCCGGAGCACGGTGGAGCTGGAGATAGTAAATTTTTGGTCATCTATCCAATGTCCGAGCATTGCGAAAATAGCTTAACTTTAACGATCGCAGCGCCAACCATTGACGCCATCGAGCTCCTCTGGGGATGAGTATGTAGGTTAAATTTGTTACGGAATAGTTTATTACCTGGATTGAGGTGTATGATACTTAACGGGAAAATATTGGTTTCTTAAGAAATTAAGTATATGTTTATTTCATATAAACGAGTTGTTCGAGTCGACGGCTACCGTCAAAATGGCGTGGCGATGGCTGCTATCTGCCGTTCGTGTATATGAACCTTATTGCGGGCTGAAGCCAGTAGACTATATTGAACGAATTTTTTTTACACATTGATGAGACATTTTTCTATTTCTAATTTTATAAATCAAAATACATGTAAATCGCCATCCCGGTCCATGGCTTGTTGGGCCATAGGCTACGGTAAAGCCCCTCTGCTGATGTAAACCATGTTTAGGCGAATTCTGTTTATGTGAATGATTCTTACATTGGTGTTGAATGCATTACTGAGTATTTTCAAATACTAAGTTAAGTATTTCTTTTACTAGAACAAATTTCACGCGGTCTAGGAGGCAGATGGAATTCGAATTTGCACGCTTCCTGGACCAATTATGAACTTAAAATGGACGTGTCGAATTTCTTTTGGTATACCTTAGGCTACAAGGTGCCATCTCTTCGCATTGTAGGTGACTTATATCTTTACGAGTATTAAACATTTAAAAGAAGAAATAGCCATTTTAATTCTTTAGGTTTAAATTTCAGATAAATGCTTAAAGATTTAAAAGAATTATAAAGTTTTTGTTTTCGTGCACAGAACCTGACGTTACTACTGAACAAGATCCGCGAGATTGTGAGCGTGCAGACCGAAGCGGAAGTGGTGGAAGCATGCGGGCGGACCCTGGAGTACCTGTGCAGCGAGCAGGGCGGCGTCTACACCCGCTGCAACGTGGCCCGCGCCACCGTCACCGACAGCTGCGTCAACCGGTACAAGGAGGCCATCGACGAGTACCGCACGCTCATCGAGGGGGTGCGTACTCATCATTATCGGCCGACCCTGGAGTACTGGAGTACTGGAGTACCTGTGCAGCGAGCAGGGCGGCGTCTACACCCGCTGCAACGTGGCCCGCGCCACCGTCACCGACAGCTGCGTCAACCGGTACAAGGAGGCCATCGACGAGTACCGCACGCTCATCGAGGGGGTGCGTACTCATCATTATCGGCCGACCCTGGAGTACTGGAGTACTGGAGTACTGGAGTACCTGTGCAGCGAGCAGGGCGGCGTCTACACCCGCTGCAACGTGGCCCGCGCCACCGTCACCGACAGCTGCGTCAACCGGTACAAGGAGGCCATCGACGAGTACCGCACGCTCATCGAGGGGGTGCGTACTCATCATTATCGGCCGACCCTGGAGTACTGGAGTACTGGAGTACTGGAGTACCTGTGCAGCGAGCAGGGCGGCGTCTACACCCGCTGCAACGTGGCCCGCGCCACCGTCACCGACAGCTGCGTCAACCGGTACAAGGAGGCCATCGACGAGTACCGCACGCTCATCGAGGGGGTGCGTACTCATCATTATCGGCCGACCCTGGAGTACTGGAGTACTGGAGTACCTGTGCAGCGAGCAGGGCGGCGTCTACACCCGCTGCAACGTGGCCCGCGCCACCGTCACCGACAGCTGCGTCAACCGGTACAAGGAGGCCATCGACGAGTACCGCACGCTCATCGAGGGGGTGCGTACTCATCATTATCGGCCGACCCTGGAGTACTGGAGTACTGGAGTACCTGTGCAGCGAGCAGGGCGGCGTCTACACCCGCTGCAACGTGGCCCGCGCCACCGTCACCGACAGCTGCGTCAACCGGTACAAGGAGGCCATCGACGAGTACCGCACGCTCATCGAGGGGGTGCGTACTCATCATTATCGGCCGACCCTGGAGTACTGGAGTACTGGAGTACTGGAGTACCTGTGCAGCGAGCAGGGCGGCGTCTACACCCGCTGCAACGTGGCCCGCGCCACCGTCACCGACAGCTGCGTCAACCGGTACAAGGAGGCCATCGACGAGTACCGCACGCTCATCGAGGGGGTGCGTACTCATCATTATCGGCCGACCCTGGAGTACTGGAGTACTGGAGTACTGGAGTACCTGTGCAGCGAGCAGGGCGGCGTCTACACCCGCTGCAACGTGGCCCGCGCCACCGTCACCGACAGCTGCGTCAACCGGTACAAGGAGGCCATCGACGAGTACCGCACGCTCATCGAGGGGGTGCGTACTCATCATTATTCATTCATTTTGACGACCTCCGTGGTCGAGTGGTTTGTACGCCGGGTTTTATGGTGTTGCCGACTCGAAGGGTGCCGGGTTCGAATCCCGGTGGGGGCAGATGTTTGTGTAATGAATACGAGCATTTGTACTCTAGTCATGGATGTTTAATATGTATTTCTATATAAATATTCTTATATATGTACTGTATGTGTATTCTATCCGTTACCCTAGCATCCCATAACACAAGCCTTACAGTGCTTACTTTGTGCTAGGCTAATTGGTGTGAGTGTTGAAAATATTTATTTATTTATTTATTTATCATTATCAGCCGATGGACGTCCACTGCTGAGCATACGCCTCCTCAAGGGATTTCCGTATGGAACGATCCTGCGCTCTCCGCATCCAGTGAGTCCCCTCGACTCGCTTTATGTCGTCAGGCCACCTAGTGAGGGGTCTTTTTTTTTTTTTGGTGACGAGGGGAAATGCAGTTAGGCACCATACCGTGACGCTGACTAGGCGCACGGCGTGTGTGGGACTCGCCGGCACGGGAAACAGTGCCGACCCTACTCAAGCAGGACCAGTGCGGAAGGCCACACTGATCCTACTCCACTAAAACCCCCCGGTACCCTCCTACGCCCATATGGGGGCGTCTCGGGGCCGGCCACATCACCGAGCACGCCCAGTGAGGGGTCTACCGACCCTGCGCTTTCCGGTGCGAGGTCGCCATTGAAGCACCTTGGGGCCCCAACGTTCATCGGTTCAAAATTCAAAATTCAAACTCATTTATTCAGTCTAGGCTGTTACAAGCTCTTGTGAAAGTCAAACGCTACGCCATCGGTTCGTAAATCTACGGCGGGAGACCTTGTACTGAGAAGAACCGGCAAGAAACTCAGCAAGGGCTATTTTTTTCTCCCTGTTTTGTTTCACACAGTGTCGTCAATTGAAAGATGACATCAAAAATTGAATACATGTGTTGATGTCAACTTCCATCACATTAATATTATTAATTAACAAAAGTTAAGTATAACTAGGTACTATTTTTAAATTTAGAAGTGGCGATTAAACAATTTTCGACCAAATTAGCAAAGTAAAACGACAGTCTATTATGTTAAGCCCAAGGTGACTTATCATTTATGAAATCTTTTACAGTATAGTAACCTTTCTTAAGGAGACATGTTTTTATACACACTTTAAACTTATTAAAAGCTAAATAATAAAAGGTAAAGTTCGCCGAGCTATGTGCTCCGCCCATTGCCACTTCAACTTGGCGATCCGTTGAGCTATGTCGGTTGTTCTAGTTCTACAGATTTCCTCATTTCTGATTCGATCACGTAGAGAAACACCGAGCATAGCTCTCTCCATCGCTCGCTGTGCGACTCGGAGCCTTCTATCTGGGACAAAGAGTCCAGTAGGGTAAGTCCAATTTCGAGATCGAGGTAAACCGCCGAAGGCCGGACTGGCAAAAACGACAGACCAATGTTGGGCAGCAGCGACACCGGTGCAATCGGTTTGGCTCTGCGAAAGAATGGCCAATCCGCATGCCCAGCGTGGCCATTTATTGGCATTATATTTGTCGACAATTTCGAGTGGAGCGGAACGCGAGCGTTAGACATAATTTTGCTCTTACTCATGTTAATTTTAAGGCTCACTTGTTGAGAGGCTCTGCTAAGGTCGTTGAGCTTTATATTAAAATCCTCCAAAGTGTTTGCCATAACGACTATATCATCGGCAAATCGAAGTTGAGTAATGTACTCTCCGTTGACGTTGATGCTAAATCTATTACAACTGCTCATAAAAAATCTCGACCTCCCTCAAAATCTCAGGCTTCGAGGAGATAAGACTACCGTTTTCGGTCTTCAGCCGCGTCAGCTGGCGCTGTCCGATAGACAGATCTCTCGCAAACACTTTCGTGCCTTTGTTGTTTATTATGGTATCTTTAATCCTTTTGGTATTAAAGAACCTAAGATCACGTGACTGTGTCTTGGAGATCTGCCTATTAATTTGCCGGTAGGCTGCCAAGAGTGTAGTCAGAGAACCTTTTGTGCCCTATAGTTAAGACCCACAGTCTTACAGAATTTGGACTCCACTTCGTGGACAGTTTCTACTAACCTGTTGTTTAAATCGTCCACAGATCAGCAATTTTCTAAACAAGCGAAACGATTCTGTAGTTCGAGTTGGAAACTTTCAGGGTTTTGGATATGTGCGCGAGTGGGTCGGAGGGTAGACTTCACCAATCGAAACCTTTCTAGCTCAATATTGATATTCAATGTGCCTCTTACCATTCGGTGATCACTACCGGTTCTCACCCTGTTGATCACTGAGACATCATTGAATATGTGCCGTTTTGTCGACATGATGTGGTCAATCTCATTTCTCGTTGAACCATCAGGGCTTAGCTACGTCCACTTCCTATTGGGTGGCTTCTTGAAGGAGTTCATCATAAAGAGGCCCTCCTTCTCCATGAAGTCAGCCAGCATTTGGCCCTTTTGGTTTTGTTGTCCATACCCGAATTTACCCACCCTCAACTCGAAACCGTCTCGCACGCCCAGTTTTGCGTTAAAATTCGCCATCACAACACTGTAGGAAGAGGCTGAGGTCTGCATGGCTTAACTTATATCCTCATACATAGCCTGTACCACCTCGTCAGAATGTGCCGAGGTCGGCGCGTAAACCTGTATGACCTTCAACGAATACGGTTCGGTAATTCTGAGTATCAGGTACGCTACCCTGCTCGACACGCTCCCGACTTCGACAATGCTGTTGACGAGGGACTTGTGGACGATGAACCCGACACCACCTTGGGACTGTTGCTCGCCCTCCCGGTAGTTTCACGGACTTCAGATAATCTTATAATGTCCCAGCGCAATTTACTCACTGCCTCTTCCAGCTCTATGATCTTCTCGTCGGTCCTTGAAGTGCGTGCGTTATATGTTGCCAGGTCTAGTCAATGGAGGTATACACAATACCGGCTGAGTGCGACACCGTAATATACATGCAAACAGCTACATACCATAATTTGTAATAAAATTAGACACGGAGAATAAGGGTGTTGAGACAGGTCCATTTTCTTCTATTTACTTTAAACTTATTATTTTACATTTGTAAAAGAACAGAACCACATTGAGCCCTTTAATTTGATATTATACAACCAGGAACAGTTAGCTAAATTTTAATTTCTAATTCTCATATATATTCGGAATATGTTTATTACTTTGTTTGTCTGTGTTTGAGACACAAACACACAAGTATGTACCAAATTTTAACTTGATCGGCCAAGTAGAATCCCTGCATATCGACTGTGACAGACAACCGAGTGATTCTGTAAGGATTGTTTTTGCCGATTGAAGTACGGAACCCAAAAAATGTAAAAATAATAACAGAGGTACGGTGGACAGAGCGGCTAGATCTCATTTAGAAGGATATCCTTTGCCCAACAAGAATATTCTAACAGTGAATTATGTAAATGAGACATTCACACAGACGCAATGAAAAAAAAAGTGAAACTGCGTACGCACGCTTGACTTTTGACAAATGCGTTACGCGTTACGAAAAGTGTGTTCGGGCAAGTCGAACGGGAGTTGAGTGGGGGATATAAGAAAATGAGAAAGCAGTGCGCGCAGACATTTTCTCTCTGTCTCTCTCTTATAGCTAGTAAATGAAATATGTATATGTACATACATGTATATACATACAGATGGAGCTAAAGAAGTTTTACTTTAGTCATGTGGTCGAAAGCACTTTTTTCATATCTTGATATTATTTACACAGGGTGAAACCCCGGACGCGGACGAAGTATTCAACGTAGTGAACTCCCTGCGCAAAGTGTCCATCATGTACATGTGCCACAACCTCAACGACACCAACATCTGGGACTCGTTGTACGAAGACCTGCCCAAACCCGGCTCCCAGCCTGGTAACCATCAGCTACCTGACCAGGTAATGTTCAATGAAAAATCCTTTGTTTGGCTATCATTAAAAAACTACAAATAAATAATGAAATTTATGACAAAATAGGTTTAATAGTTTAGTTAAATAAAACCATAACCATTTACAATCTTATCACAAATATATGTATGTTATTTTGCTTTTTTTAATAATTACAATTAATTAATAATTAATTGTAGTTTAATTACTTCTGTAAATTTAATCAGACAATGCCCATTTATATAGAATTGCTTTTTGGTTCAATAATATACAGTGATAATTAGATAATTAGAAACACTACCAACGGTCCTTGATCCTTTTTTATTTTTAAATTAAACAATAAACAGTATGTTTCACGATTTATCTTTTTTTGGAAAAAAAATATAAATGCCATTACACAAGTGCAGATTCAATATTACATTACGGATAAACATTTAAATCAGTTCTCAGGTATGAACAATAATGGTCAACTAATTAGAAACAACAAAAAAAGTATAAAAAATAATATCTTTTTAAGTATTATTAATAAGTATTGTTATTTACGAAATAGCTACTATCCACAGCCTACCAATAGTTATAATTTATATTTAGTGGCGTATCTCTTATTTCCAATAACAGCATTGCAACGACGTGGCATTGATTCAATCAGTTTCATATATTTTTCTAGGGCGGAATCCCATGCTTCCACAAATGCTTCATATAGTTTGTTTTGACTGGTGTTACCTTTGTTTGAGACTTTCTTTTTAACAATATACTAGAGATTTTCTATCAGGTTTAAATCTGGACTATTTGCTGGCCAGTCTAAAATGGTTATACGCTGTTCGCTAAGGAAATATATTTGCCGTGTGTAGGGATGCAGTCTTTTGAAATATCGATATTTATATCGAAGTCAGGAAAATATCGATATCCGATATATCGACCATTTTAACTCGATATTATCGATATATCGATATTTTTTCCTTTTTATTTTTTATTGACATTAGAATAAGGGGTGAGTGTGACACATTCATATGTTTGATGGCGAGTTTCTCGCAAAATGCATTGAGCCAGCTTTTTCGTTAAACACGCTTGATGAAATCGCGCCAAGCAGGATATTTTTTTATTGGCTCGCACAGTTTGTGTTTCAGCCACGACAGGAAACCAAAAAATTAAAATTATTATCCTGATCAGATCACTCACATTCGTTAGCACGAATGCGCCAACCCGCATATGTGGGACGACATTTGCGAATGCCTTCGCTAAGTTTTCACTACATTCGTGCTTTTCCAAGCTATGTCGGTTTTTTAGCGCACATCAAATACGCAAATTGCTTAGTCACCCACACATCAGGGGCGTGCCCATGGCTTCAGAATAGGGTAAGCCCAAAGCTTCCAAAATTACTATACCTATCTTACTTTCTTGATTTGGCGAGCTTAAAAAATTTACGATTTGTATAAGAATCTTAATTTTATTTTGTGTTATATTACAATGATATTAAATTTCAATTAATCAGTAGTTGACAATTATCTAGAAAGAGAGGCAAAATCCTTGCCTTGCCAAATTTAAGTGCATGAGTTAACTAAATTTAACATCAGTCTCTCCTTTTCATTCTGTATAGAGAATGACAAGGATACACTGTTGTCAAATTTAATTTTAGGTTTAGAGAATCATGGCAGAATCCACACCAGTTTAGTATATTTCTTGGGGTTCAAGATTTTTTTAATACATCTTTAAGCCCTTGCGATTTGTATTGTATTGCGACAAAGCAATAGTTATTTCGATATTATTCAATTTAGATAGTCATAGCAGATAAATTAATTGATATTATTGTGTTCAAATTTAGTCTACGAAATATCGATATTTTGGAATTTCTGATATCGATATCAGTGAATTTTAAATATCGATATAAATATCGATATTTTGGTCTCGATATTATCGATATTCCGATATATCGTTGCAACCCTAGCCGTGTGCTTAGGGTCATTGTCATGCTGAAAGATCCATGTTACAGGCAAATGATCGTCCGAGTAGGGAATTATTGTGTGCTCTAAGATATTTTTGTATTGCCATTGATCCATTGTACCTTCAATCTTCCGAATGGGTTCAATTTCACATCCGGAAAACTACCCCCAAACTTTAATGTTACCGCCACCGTGCTTGACTATACTCCTCGTGAATTTATAATTAAAAGCATTGTTTACAGGGCGTCTTACATAGCGCTTTCCATCGGAATTTACCATATTTATTTTAGTTTCATCTGAAAATAACATTTTTCTCCATTCTCGTACCGTCCAATTAGTATCGCTTCTCTTGGTGTTGCTTGGTAAGAAGCGGTACCTTTTGAGCGATTCTTCCAAACAATTTAGCTTCCACTTATC